GTTGAAGTAGGAGTAGAGGATGGCTCAGTTGAACTACTTGACGATGACTCTGTTGAAGTAGGAGTGGAGGATGGCTCGGTTGCAGTAGATGTTGAGGATGGTTCCGTTGCGGGAGGCGTAGAGGATGAACCTCCTGACGAGGACTCCGTTGCGGTAGAAGTAGAGGACGGCTCTGTTGAACTACTTGGCGATGACTCTGTTGAAGTAGGAGTAGAGGATGGCTCGGTTGCAGTAGGTGTTGAGGATGGTGCCGTTGCGGGAGGTATAGTGGATGAACCTTCTGACGAGGACTCCGTTGCGGTAGAAGTAGATGACGGCTCTATTGAACTACTTGACGATGACTCCCGTTGCGGGAGGCATAGAGGATGAACCTCCTGACGAGGACTCCGTTGCAGTGGACGTAGAGGATGCCTCTGATGAACTATCTGTTGACGATGACTCCGTTGCAGTAGGCGTAGAGGTTGGCTCCGTTGCAGTAGGCGTCCAGGATGCCCCTGTTGAACTATCTGTTGACGATGACTCCGTTGCAGTAGGCGTAGAGGATGGCTCTGTTGCAATAGACGTAGAAGATGGCTCAGTTGAACCACCTGTTGGCGATGACTCTGTTACAGTAGGCGTTGAAGATGGCTCTGTTGCAGTTGGTGTAGAAGATGGTTCTGATGCAGTAGGCGTCCATGATATCCCTGTTGAACTATCTGTTGACGATGACTCCGTTGCAGTAGGTGTAGAGGATGGTTCTGATGCAGTAGGCGTCCATGATGTCTCTGTTGACGATGACTCCGTTGCAGTAGGTGTAGAGGATGGTTCTGATGCAGTAGGCGTCCATGATGTCTCTGTTGACGATGACTCCGTTGCAGTAGGTGTAGAGGATGGTTCTGATGCAGTAGGCGTCCATGATGTCTCTGTTGACGATGACTCCGTTGCAGTAGGTGTAGAGGATGGTTCTGATGCAGTAGGCGTCCATGATGTCTCTGTTGACGATGACTCCGTTGCAGTAGGTGTAGAGGATGGTTCTGATGCAGTAGGCGTCCATGATGTCTCTGTTGACGATGACTCCGTTGCAGTAGGTGTAGAGGATGGTTCTGATGCAGTAGGCGTCCATGATGTCTCTGTTGACGATGACTCCGTTGCAGTAGGTGTAGAGGATGGTTCTGATGCAGTAGGCGTCCATGATGTCTCTGTTGACGATGACTCCGTTGCAGTAGGTGTAGAGGATGGTTCTGATGCAGTAGGCGTCCATGATGTCTCTGTTGACGATGACTCCGTTGCAGTAGGTGTAGAGGATGGTTCTGATGCAGTAGGCGTCCATGATGTCTCTGTTGACGATGACTCCGTTGCAGTAGGTGTAGAGGATGGTTCTGATGCAGTAGGCGTCCATGATGTCTCTGTTGACGATGACTCCGTTGCAGTAGGTGTAGAGGATGGTTCTGATGCAGTAGGCGTCCATGATGTCTCTGTTGACGATGACTCCGTTGCAGTAGGTGTAGAGGATGGTTCTGATGCAGTAGGCGTCCATGATGTCTCTGTTGACGATGACTCCGTTGCAGTAGGTGTAGAGGATGGTTCTGATGCAGTAGGCGTCCATGATGTCTCTGTTGACGATGACTCCGTTGCAGTAGGCGTAGAGGATGGGTCTGATGCAGTAGGCGTCCATGATGTCTCTGTTGACGATGACTCCGTTGCAGTAGGCGTAGAGGATGGGTCTGATGCAGTAGGCGTCCATGATGTCTCTGTTGACGATGACTCCGTTGCAGTAGGTGTAGAGGATGGTTCTGATGCAGTAGGCGTCCATGATGTCTCTGTTGACGATGACTCCGTTGCAGTAGGTGTAGAGGATGGTTCTGATGCAGTAGGCGTCCATGATGTCTCTGTTGACGATGACTCCGTTGCAGTAGGTGTAGAGGATGGTTCTGATGCAGTAGGCGTCCATGATGTCTCTGTTGACGATGACTCCGTTGCAGTAGGTGTAGAGGATGGTTCTGATGCAGTAGGCGTCCATGATGTCTCTGTTGACGATGACTCCGTTGCAGTAGGTGTAGAGGATGGTTCTGATGCAGTAGGCGTCCATGATGTCTCTGTTGACGATGACTCCGTTGCAGTAGGTGTAGAGGATGGTTCTGATGCAGTAGGCGTCCATGATGTCTCTGTTGACGATGACTCCGTTGCAGTAGGTGTAGAGGATGGTTCTGATGCAGTAGGCGTCCATGATGTCTCTGTTGACGATGACTCCGTTGCAGTAGGCGTAGAGGTTGGCTCCGTTGCAGTAGGCGTCCAGGATGCCCCTGTCGAACTATCTGTTGACGATGATTCCGTTGCAGTAGGCGTCGTGGATGTCTCTGCTGAACTATCCGTCGACGATGACCCCGTTGCGGTAGGTGTAGAGGATGTTTCTGATGCAGTAGACGACCATGATGTCTCTGTTGACGATGACTCCGTTGCAGTAGGCGTCCAGGATGCCTCTGTTGAACTATCTGTTGACGATGACTCCGTTGCAGTAGGTGTCGTGGATGTCTCTGCTGAACTATCCGTCGACGATGATCCCGTTCCAGTAGGCCATGCCACAGTAGTCGTTTCTCCTGTGTTTCCTGAGCAAGGTACACCTTCCCAATCGCAGACTCGGTCCTCTTCATTGAAAACCAGCTGCACTCCTTGTTCTATCGGGCATTCCATTGAGAACGCATACGGTCCTATACACTTGTAGAATTTGTGACAGTCCGATTCATGGCGAATGTTGTACGTGTAGTAAAATGAACTCTTGTATCGGCAATCTGGAACGTACTTGCCCGACTCTTCTGCCGCTGTAATATGTAGCAATATTCCTGCGACTGCGACGAGCAGTGGCAAAAAGTCTGAAACAAATATATGGAAATTATGTAGTAAAATGTTACATTTGATTATGTATTACGTAACATTTTGATGTACGGTGTAATTCGAATATGGTGTAACACTGGACTTATTTGAGTAATAACATATTTTTAGTATCACCTGTTAAACAAACATCGTTCCCAAATTGTGTTACTTACTTATCATGGTAAATATCTTGTAACAATTAATTTTGTTAGCAAACTGCGTATATCCCTAAGATTTCTAATAGTAACTGTAAGGTTATGACACGGTTATCGACTTTTATACTCAATTTGTCGTTATCGATAACTCATTATGCTTATCGCTATTTTAACATCTGCTTTTTATTTAAAACAAATCGATGACGTGCTCATTTCGTACAGCGTGTACATTTCGCAAAACGTGCGTCTTTACAATTGAACGGTAGCGATGGTATTGTGTTTATATACTTAGAACTACACTGATATTTCCTTTCAATTCAATTCTCATTCTGCAAACGTATTCACTTGGAACCTTAAAGAACCAATAAACTGAAGGTAACAAATATTTACAGAAGGAAAATATAAGATTAGCATGAGCAACGTATAAGTTTTCTCAGCAAACTTAAATAAGACTTTACAAACACAAAGTAACATTTATTCAAGACACGCAAATAATTTACACAAATATTTGCACAGAAGTTGCAATTTTAAATTAATCTGTTACATTCTACCAAATCACATGCTGCGATAATTAACTTGGAATTAAGACTCTTTTACAAACTCTTGTTCATTGCCACTTCATTCTCATAACGATGATGACAGTCTTTATGAAGATTATTCTTTATCTGTTATGCAATATGACTCTACAGAACTGCGGGTGGATGTCCCTAAAGTACTTGACATTATCAACTCCGCCTGGCGTCAGTTTTTCATTACCACTGTATGCTGCTATTTCAGATAGCGTTGAATCAGTATTCATGTCGTCTTTGACACTTGGACAGTATTTAATGTTTCGGTAGCACTTGGAGTCGAGGTTCAATAGTGCACTGTGTTGAGGAAGGTTGCGATTAGTCAGGCGTTGACCATAATTCTATAATATTTCCGTTGTATCTAACTGATAGTTCTCTAATACTTGAATTTAATTATCAGAGATATTCAATCATGATCCTTCGAAGTCTCTGCAGAGAATTCGACCTTCTTAATCACAAACTTCCTTCACATCGAAAATCAGACGACTTTTAATTTAATATTACGATATTCTTGTACACGCTTGTGGATCTTATGGTAGACTTGTGAGGAACGTATAACAATTTTTCTTTGCACTCGAGTGGTTTAGCGCTCAGCGTTTAAGGTTACTATTACAACGATAACGATCAGAGATGTAAAACTTGTAAACGGTCATATTTTTATTAAATTTTATTGAGAAACATTTGAATCGTAAGTGTAATATTGTCAGGGTCTACACGCTATCTTATTAGAACCTACGTACATTAAGAACAATGTATTACCACTCGAAATTTAAAAAAAATTAAACGATTCGATTGCAACGTTAATTACATTCACACGAAAAAAAATAAAAACTATCGCAGCAATTTTTTTTTAAAACATAATTTAAAAATTTCAAGTTACCTTTCATAGCGAATCCCATGTAATGAATAATCACTCCTTATTTTATTAATCTGACTAGTGGATTTATGCCATGCTCATCGACTTTTATAGTCATCTAAGCGTTATCATTACCTGATTAATCGTATTATCGTAGTTTAATGTCAGATTTTAAGATCTATCTAGTACTACTTAATTAATTTAATTTTTTCTCGTGTTTGATTACGATAATACCGGATATATAAGATTTTTAAATTAAATTAATCTTTTTCAAATAAATCGCCCGTTCGAATAGAACCTCGAAGCGCGTGACTTCAAAGTCTACCTGTAATCTAATTCTAACAACCGTAACACACAGGAGATAATTGCAAAGATAACAATCGTTGATGATTTACATATATTTATTCGAACAATGTAATACAACTTAATTTTTACAAATCTTCAAATTCAGAATACCCGGAGATTTTTAATGAGGTTGTTCCAAATCACATTCGGCGATGTGTGGGTTGAAGTAAGTACCCTCTCGACAAGTCCTTTCTTCTGGCTTTCCGTTCACGCATTCATAATACTTATGTCTGTCGGCATGGGGCTTTTTCCTGTCTGGGTTCACTGAGCAGTCTGGCTCAGGAACTGGTGTTGCCGATGTCGGAGTATTTGAAGTATCTGTAGTCCCATTTGAGTTTTGACAATTACTGCCTCCTTCCCAATCGCAAACTTGCAATTCCGGATTGAAAAACAGCTTAATGCCTTTCAACGTCGGGCAATCTACTTCGAAGCCGTTGGGTCCTAAACATTTGTAGAACTTGGTGCAGTCGCTTTCGTGAGGCACGTTGTACGTTTGGAATTTGTTGCTTTTGCCTTCGCATTCTTTAATAGGTTTTCCGGTTGTTTCAGAGAATGGAACGTAGGCTGCTGTTGCCGCGGTGACAACCATTAATGTCACTAAATCTGAAATTTACAAACGTCGTTCAACAATATTGATTCTGTGCTTTCGATTCCATTTGCTTCGATTAAATATTAATTACATGAAACTACAGATTATTTTACGCTATCGGATTTTACGAGTCCTATTTCAAGTTTGATTTGTTGAAATGGATTTTGTGAATACTCTAATTTTCATCGATGTTAATACATTTACGTTCTATCGTATTTATGTAACTTTCATTTTTAATTTTGAAGTGTGCATTATACTTTGAAGACTGGTTAGCGTAATAGGTACAACAGCAGGTTCAATATTCGTAAATTACTGGTCATACAAGATAATGGGTCGTTTCAAATTTTAACCAATTTGAAATTAGATTTGAGAATAATCATGCAAGTTTCAAATAGAGTTGAAAATTTGTTAGATATCGAAATACATGAATCCTTGAAATTTATTAACGATTTTAGTACAATAGAAATTTTTTCAAACGAATAATTTGTCAATAGAGTTTAAATTAAAAGTTGAATTACTCACACTTCATGATGGATGCAATTACCGAAGAAATGGCTGGCGATATTGTAGCTATTTTAGTTACTGGTACATTCCTATCGCGCAGATCGCCTTTTATAGTCGATCGATTCTGAATATTATCTCATTATGAATATTATCACGCTCATTATGCATAAAGCCATATTTAACATCTGTACAATATTTAATATAGAATTATTACGAAACACTTGTTTGTAGTAGTTCGGCTGTTCTTTTTATTTGATAACGATCTTATTGAATTCAACAGTTTCGCGTTGAGTAAACATTAGCACGAAATCTGATTTATAGCTCCGGGTTAAAGTGTTCGTACGAGAGATCGTCAGTGAGCAATGAAAACGAACAAAGAAGCTGAATTAACGTGCGATCTTTCTTTTTTATAAAATGAACTGGAAATACAATTAAATTTAACAACCTTGATTAAGCGATAATACTTCATCTTCTCTTAAATCTAAGACTGCAACTACATCTAAGATTGCAACTCAAGTATTCTATACTTATTTATTAAGCGTCATTCTAATTAATAATCTGCTGCCATTCACATAATTTCTCTATGATACAATTTGAAGCAATTTAATACTCGATAGTCAAAACTTTAATTTGCAATACTATTTCCGAAAAAGAGAGGAAAAGATGGAAATGAAAATAGGATGCGAACTTATCAAAAGATTTCATATAGAACACAATACATCTTTATTTATTATTACAACAATGTTTCAGTTGATTGTCTTACAGTAAGTTAACTTGGTTAAATAACAGTAAATTATAAACTAAATTTTTACTGAAGCTACGCGACTAATAGTCTTTATAGAAAGGCAGGATATTATACCAAGATGAATACGTATCCGAATCACGCTGCTCGACACCGTACATGTACAATTTACTACATTTAGCAGCAGCTGGTTCAATGCAAATGCCTTTTTCCGAGCTGAAGTGGAAGCCCGATCTACACTGAACGACGTAGGGTGCCCCAGATCCGCACCTGCAGAATTTCGTGCAATTCCTGTGGGCCAGAACGTAGCTCCTGTCGGTGTGGTCGGAGGATTTCGGGCAGGTGCTTATACAACTTTCCGACTCTATAACGGTGTCTTCGTATACTTCCTTGTAGCAATGGGCATCCTCGTTGGGCATACATGTATGCGCCTCGTAGTTGTACTCCGTGTTACGCGGGCACTCTTGACGCACTGCGACTCCGTTCTTGCACTGGTAGTAAAGTTCGCAGGTGCACTCGTGTGGAATCGTGGTGTTCGTGCAAGGGAATGGTGTGCAGGTCAAATTTCTGATATTTTCCGGCCAGTCGCACTTCTTCTTGTCCGGATTGAAATACATGTTTTCACTACAGTTGACAAGAGTCATCTTACCGTGATCGCATTCACAGTATTGCGTGCAATTCTCGTGAACCACGATCTTGCTTTCGTTCCGCAAACACGTCTCCATGCATCCTGGTGGTGGTTTGACTCCTGGCCAACAATTGGCCTCATTTTCGGGTACACACTTGCCGAGTTCGAAATCGAACTCCGTTCCTTTCGGACAGGTTTCAACCACCCATCCCTCATCCTGGCATTCGTAATATTTCTCGCATCTGCACTCGTGATGCGTTCTGTTTCCTGCCGTGCACGGTGGCGGTGGTACCGTGCAGTTCACGTTATCCGGCCAGTCGCACATCTGCGTCACGGGATTGAAGTGAAGACCCTCCGGACAGTCCTTCACGGTCTTGTTGCCGTTGTTGCACTCGTAGTACTTCGAGCAAATGCTGTGCGGGTATCGAGTGTAACAATTGTCACAGTTGCATGCCGGGCATTCGTCGACTTCGCTTATTCGGGGAGTCGTAGTGAAAGGCGTCTTACCATTGCAGTTCACATTTTCGGGCAGATCGCAAGCTTTTATCACGTCGTTGTAATAATGTCCGTCCAAACATTTTCCAAGATATTTCAAACCGTTCTGACAGTTGTAATAAAGATTGCAATCGTATTCGTGAGGCACCCGAGTGATACCCTCTGCTGGGCATACATTGTCTTGCACCATCAGTACTTCGTTCTCGTCGCAATAGCACTCCGCTCTCGCCGCAATATCGCAAACTTCCCTTATGTAATCGAACTCGGTGCCGTTTCTACAATGTTGAAGAAATTTCTTCCCGTTGATACACTCGTAGTACTTGTGGCAAGAACATTCGTGCGGAATACGCTTGGCTTGATCGGAGCCTGCTGGTGGACACTGCTCGTCAGTTGGGTCCACATAAGTGACACATTCGCTCCTCGGTGGCCAACCACATATGCCGTTCACTGGGTCGAAGGATAAACCGCCAAGACACTCCTTTTCCGTCTTTGAGCCATCCTTGCACTCGTAGTACAAGCCGCAATCCTTTTCGTGGGGAATGTTGTGGATCCCGGTCGGAGGACATTCCGAGTACGCGTACGCCGTCGCCGCCAGGACGGCGATAACAGCCAACGATTCTGTAAACAGAAAAATCGAGAGGCAATAATTTAATTGTTCGATATTGCCTTACTGGATATCGATCTACCCGTCGCGATTTTAGATGGATTTCAGGTTCTCTCAAAACTTACGAATGTACGCCGTTCCCATGCGAAGCTTTCATTCAAACAGTTCGTGAGCTAGCTCAGGTCTAAGCACTGACACGCTATTATCGGTACTTGGACCTTGGCGAAGATAACTTACGACGTGTTTGGACACACTTAACATGGACACGGTTTACAGAACGGACACAAACTCGACGCGAGAAATAATCCGAATCGTGAATCGCTTTTCTCGAATACTCACGTCTCATGATAGCCGAAATTCGATTCTCTATCATCAATTGTTTAAAATCAACTGGCAGTTTGGGGTACTCAAAACAGCTCTTATAAATGAAAGATCTTATCACCGATCGACGGATCGATTTATCGCGTTTAGCTAATATACTCGTATCTTCGATTAATTTTCGACGTATAGTACTTTGAACCGACGAGTCATGCATCTGATATGTATCATTGATGTAATCATTTAACGTTTAATAGATATTTCTTGCTATTAATAATCACTTTCGGTACATCTAACTTTGAATTTGCCTCCCAGTTGAGTAATCGGTAAATAAACTTGAGCTCAATTTATTCGTTTTGATTCTATTAAAATCACATCGAAAACAAATCCATACAAGAAGTAAATTGAACCTCGTTCAACGCGTTGACTGTCACAGTGAAAGTGCACGTACATAGTCAGACATACTGTAATTATTATTAAGAATACAATTAATCTTCAGATTTGTCTTTTAATTAAATGCGTAAAGTTGTACAAATTAAGTTTTATAACCGGAAATTAAATTAATCTACCGTGTAAAGTAGTCGGAATCTTTTATCGAAGAGAACAATATCGATAAAAAATTATCGCACGAATTTCTCGAATATTTTCACGATTACATTATCGTACGAAATAAAGTCGTGACGCGTTTTCGCTGTGAAATGTTTTCGACAGCCAAAATCCGAATTCACCGGAAACGGTGAAAAATATCGATTGACTTGCAATTTTTTTAGGCAGACTGATATTACCTCGAATCGTGCATTAAGGAATTTGTATGTTTTATCCGCGGATTAATGAGAAGTCACATGTTTAGAAGTTTCCTACTTAGAATTATTTAAACTACTTTATCGCCATGAGTTAAACACTTAAAATATATCAGACCATAAGTTGAAACAGTGCGACAAAAGTGTAGCATTAGTTTCACACTGGAAAGAAGATAACACTGAAATAGTGGGAATTCAATTTGTTTATGGCGTTTGTCACGGTGAAAAGCATACAAGAGTTTAACGCTGGGAACTTTTGTATCTTTTCGATACAAAATATAATACTTTCAATTTAATTTTATTAACATATTTGTCGTCAAAGTGATGATATAAAATAGGAAAGAATTAATTTTTAGTCTCTGTAATTCATTTTATCGCGTGTCTACGAGAAGTATTATTTATGTACAAAGTTAACAATAAATATTGCAGCTCGCTTATGGTAGGGTTCTAATTTATCTAGCAACACTCCTGCACAAATAGGTATCAAACGATAGAGAAAACTATGGACAGGAAACTTAAATGTGTCCCATTAATCGATGACACGATAATTCCATGTATTTTTATCGCAGTACACATTGTGTATCTAAAATATTTGTCAGAGGTGGGTCAAGCTATCTAGCCTTACTAATTGTGTCAACGTTTCGTATCAAACTGAAATGGCGTTTTAACATTTGAGATTTGTAAATTGGGGATTTGAAAATATATAATTTCCATTCTCAATTACGCCAATGTAATGGCAAATGAATTCAAGGAAATCGAATCGTGTCTGACCACGATAAGTCTGATCTACTGTCGCGATTCTGAAGTTCTCCAGTGTCCGAATTTGCCAGTGGTCGATAAGAGCAGAATCCACCGAGGAAAATGGTGGTTAACAGCGGTCGATGTTGCAGAGCTGCATCGTCGAGAGGTTTCTCGATCGCGACGCTAGCGTCACCGCGTTGTTTCTTCGCGCTCCCTCAAAAATAACGATCCAATGAGGAGCTTGTAAACAATGGTTAAAAGGCACGGGATTGGCGGCGTTGTCGCCAAGTCGGGTCGGAAGGACCAATGGGAGAAGGTATATTCGGTTCCAAGGGAAAATGCATCGGTCGTCCTTTACCCCCACCAGTGTGACGGCGGCACGGCTCATATTCAGTAGACTCGGCCATTTCTCTCGCGAAGCGTACCAACTCGTTCGGCCGCGACATTTTTTTCCGACAAACCGTGCGGGTATTCCCGGAAACTTTGCAAAATAACGCGACGCAAAAGGATGATACACTCCGGGCGCACCAGGCTCGAGGTAAGTCAACGTCTCCTCTGACAGTAAACCAGTTGATTGGTAAACGCGCGTCAAAGTCACCACGGGGGGGTCGTGCGTGTGTCCAATGTTGTCATTGCCGAGGCGAACAGCTGATCCGCTCCCCTGGCCTCCGTAATGCCTGGCAACGTTTTCTAGCTCGGTTCTTGGCTTGGTAACGCGACGATCATCCACGAACGACGACCATCACCACGTTTCGAAGCTGCGTCTACGTCGCTGGACAGTTAAAGGCTTTCATACTTTTTCATCGCTACCATTTCGCGTATATCTCCGTCTCGCTCTTCTTACTTCTATCTACGTCTCTCTCTCGCTCGCTCTTTCTTTCTTCCGTCTCTGTTTCTCTGATCGACCAACCAACCAGCCTAGCCAACTCCATCCTTTGTTCTTTCTTTCTTTCCTCGGCTCTTAGAGAATTTCTTCGTCTTCGGTGGCTTCTCGGTACCTGTTTACTTCTTTTCATCTCGTCTCTTTGTTCTTGTATCGTCGTGAAACGCGCAGTTCGGACGACGTCTCGAAATGCCGTCCAGACGACTGACGTCGATGCTTCGATCCATCTTCGATGAAATGCATCGTATACAAACTCGAGGAATATCGTCGTGTCGTTGTATCTCTCTCTCTTTGTCTCACTCGATTTATCTGTCTACACCTCTCGCTCTCTCTTCCCGTGTTTCTTGCTCTCTCTCTCTCTTTCTGGTTCGTCTCTCTCCCCTTTGTCTTACTCTGTTCCCCTCTTCGTCGCTCGCTAGCACGTTCGCGTATCTCTTTTTCTCATTCGACGATCGTTACGCGCTATTAGAATGTCAATGAGTATTGTCCTTCTCGCTGGCCGAGCAGCCGAACGTCGCAGTCGAAAATCGACTCCTTCCAGGCGAACTCGTTTCGTCTTTGTCTCGTCTCCCGCACCGCCATCCGTCGTTCGGAATATGCTCGCTGCTTTTACTCGCGACGGAGCCTTGTTCCGCGTCCGAAGTCTCGCGGATCGTCTTGCGGTTCCTCGACAATCGGAGCATAACGAGATTCGCCACCCAGGACACACCTGGTGCGTCGCGGTACATGTGCCACTTGTAAACAAAAATATTGATATCGGACAAAAAGGTGTCGCCTGATAAAAATGCACGAAAATAGATTGATAGGATCAATTTGAAAACTGGGGATGGATTACAATATCTCGTGTGTTGAAACCGTTCTTTGTTTTCATTTGTTTCTGAGAGTATTTAGATAATCAGAATTTTATTTTACATTATTGGGACGAGATAATTATCGAAACTGTTATTAATAATAATTGTCGACACGCCAAAAACACTGTCTTCGAGGTTGTGCATCATCCGGTAACCTGATAGATTTGGAGGGAAAACGCTGGTTGGCGATTGCGTATAGGGGTAGATTGCCGCCTTCGTACACGGGGCTGCTTCCATAATGCACTTTAAATCTGAAACAGAGTTAGTTTCGTTAATTCCACGTGTCAAGTACATCTATAAAAAAGAGAATGTATTATACAATGTATTTTCATAAACCAATTCGAAAATTTATAAAACATTATTTGTATTTGAACCTTGATTATGAATAAACGTTTGAGACAATAATTCATGTTTTATTTTCATGTCTGATTCGTACAATTTTCTACTGTTGTAAAATTTCAACGCATTATACATTGAATAAAGTCGATGTAGAATTTTCAACGTGGGTTTATTTCAAAAATTGTACGAAGGGCAATCGTCCCCTAAGAAAGATTTACATTCATTTGCTCCTAAAATTGAACAATTTGCTCTCAACACCCCGTACATTCGCTCGAAACGATCGATTGATCACTCCGTTGATTAACTTTACGGATAAGGAAAGTACCTTGACGTTCTTCCGCATTGTTCTTCGTGCAATCGTTTTCTGAGTGATACACATGTAGTTACCGATCGAAAGAATGTTTTGTATCGTTAACAGCTGGAATACGTCTTTTTCTTCGAATTCGCTGCTGCGAGAAACCTAAGAACGTAATTTCGATGGAGTGGTTAGTATCGAATGGAAACGATCGCAATATTGTTTCCCCGATATCGCGGTGGAATAAAAGAATTTGTTACTCGTTCAACATAGATTGCACGTAACCGTTGCGTTGAACTGATCGCAAAAGAGCAACGCGCGAATAGAACAGCTGCGTCGTCGATCGATCGGTTTCCACGCGCGAGGGTTCGTTTCCGTTCGAACGAGAAACTCTTTCACGAATTTGCGCGTAATTTAATGAACGTCACTGATTAGAAAATGAGAGAATTGCGCAAGGTGGCGGGAAAATGGACTCTGATGCAATGTCGATAACCACAGTGAGGAGACCTTTGTTTTCATTTTTGGCTGAAGCTTGAAACTATAATCTTTCCAATTTCTAAATTTGCATATCGAGTTCCTAAATCTTGGAGATATTAAATATTCAGGTTCTGAAATTATTTAATCGAATCCTTGCATTTTGGAATTAAATATTGAATTTAGATGGCATCTCCAATTATTCAAATTAACCCTTTGCGTTCGAGAGGTGACATACAGTCACCATTATATTTAATAAGCATTTTTTAACTGATTCTATAACATGACACGTGTGATGTATAAACATAGTGAAATAAACAATAGTGGAAATTATTAGTAAAGAAATAACCTCAAAAAAATTCATTTTACTTTTTAACTAAGTTTTAAAGTTGCTGTTTGTAAACAGTCAAATTATCTTTGAGTGCAAAGGGTTGACAAATTTCCAAATCCCTGCCATTCAAATATTTCAAAAACCCAATAACCCAAATCACTAACATTCAAATATTTCAAAAACCCAAAAGCTCAAATCCCTAACATTTCAAAATCCCTAAATCCTTGAAATCCCTAATCCTTAAAATCCCCAATCCTTGAAATTCCAAATTCTTGAAATCCCAAATCCCTAAAATCTAAAATAATTAAAATCCCAAATCCCTAAAATCCTTGAAATCTCTAAGATCCCTAAACTCTCAAATCCCTAAAATCCCAGATCCCTAAACTCCCAAATCCCTAAAATCTCAAATCCCTAAAATCCCAAACCCCTAAAATCCCAAATCCCTAAACTCCAAAATCCCTAAAATCCCAAACTCCTAAACTCTCAAATCCCTAAAATCCCAGATCCCTAAACTCCCAAATCCCTAAACTCTCTCAAATCCCTAAAATCCCAGATCCCTAAACTCCCAAATCCCTAAAATCCCAAATCCTTAAAATCCCAAATCCCTAAACTCCCAAATCTCTAAACTCTCTCAAATCCCTAAAATCCCAAATCCCTAAACTTCCAAACCCCTAAAATCCCAAATTAACTGCTTTCTAAATTAACAGAGTATCCGCAAATGATCGTGCACAACTTTGCAGAGATTTTTCCGTAACACTGTCGGTTGATAGAGAATCGTTTTGTTTGTCGAGTAAGCCGAATTAGGTGGAAACTTTTAAGAGTTCTTATCGACGATGAAACCGTCGAAAAATCGATCCACCGTTGCAGCAACAGTTTCCCTTCTGTCAGTTTCTTGCTTCCCGACAAATTGCTACGTTCCTCTTCGAATTTCCCGCTAACTCGCGAGAGCGTACTCGAGAGTACGACGCTCAAGAGGTGCGTTCACCGGCGACTGCATTAAAAACTTTATAAACACGCGACGCAATTTCGTAAAACACCCTCCTGCTCTCTTTCTTTCCAGAAAAATGAAAATGAGTCGTTATTACGCGCCGCACGTTGCACGTTCTTTTTATTTCCCTTTCCGGTTCTCGTTTGGAACGTTACCTCGAGGATGGCTGATAATTGCTGCCTCAGATGTACGATCGATTTAAGAGAATTATCTATTATTCAAATCTCGAGAATACATGCACTTCAGATTTCCTAAATACAAGCAATCACCATGCGGATATTTTTACTCCTTTATAGTTCTTCCAAGTTTCATCGATATAAAATTAACTGAAGCAATTAAAGCTAACTAAAAGTTAAACATAAAGTTACCTAAAGAAACTTATAAGAACTCGAAGATGTAAGATAGCAAATTGCATGATTCAATTTGGGAATTGATCGTTTAACCAGTGTTTTACAATACACATTAATGAAAACGGATGAAATAATTAGTAACGAATCCAAACGTACAAATCCGGAGGCCGTTTTACGCGTTTCGGGAGAAGCCGAAAGATGATTCGTTAGAAGGTAACGCATGCTTCGAAACGTAAATACCTTACGGTAGTCTCGTCTTAATTAGCTCTAATTAGTTCTCGAGAAGCTACATAAACTGATTCTCATCTAGGAAACTTAACGCGTTCGAGACTGCGGTCTCGTTATAAGGTGTCAGAATCATTTTCCTTTTACGATGCTTTTTCACTCGTAGCGATAACCTAGCACACTCGTATTTCGTTGAAACTTGGATTAGCTCCTTCGTCTCAGCTGCATTCAACAAAATGGTCCTCGAAGCCGGAAAATTCTCAGCGTGTCAAAAGTCACGCATGGAGACGTCGTTATTCAATCACGTGATATTCCATTTGTTATGAAACGAAAATATTTTAGAAACCAATCGGTTTTCTCAATTTTTCTCCCAAAACAAGATTGGATTTTCGAAGAAAGCGAAAATGTTCTAAAAGTAGTGAAAGATTGGATTTCGAGCAAGCACTCGGTCCATCACGAGATCGTACTTATAAAGGAATTTTCCGAGTACGAATCCGAGAACCGAAAGGAGAGAGTAATTGATACGGAGTATTTATAGAGGAGTAATTGAAATTGATTTCCGCATCGAATTTTTAAAGTCTACACAACTCCATTAACCGTTTATAAAATATACGTGAAAGATCGATCGAATTGTCGTCACAGAAAGCAAAGTTATATCTCGAAATTGCAAATTCGATCCCAGTAAATATATTTTAATAGTGATTATTCACAAAGATTTTCTGCACGAATCTGCTCTTGAATCATTTTCAGACACCATGGATATCGAAAACAAATTCTGGTCGATATCTCTCTCCAATGACTCCGTGATTAATCGTCGCTATCTCCTACGAATCGGTAAAAATTTCCTTATAAATGTCTCCTTGAGTGATCGATCTGACTCACCAATATTTTAAAAACTCCAGCGTCGAAGAACAATTAGATGTGCTATGCAAGGCTTAGAAGTACGTTGTCTATCGCGAGTGGGTTCCTTAGAGAAAATGTCGATGTAATAGCAAGTACGGCTAGTTAGTTTAGGTTAATCGTTGGCTACTAAATCTTCAAAGTCAGAGTTTTCCAAAGTCTTTGAACCAAGGTTGAAATTTACAAATTCAGATTTTAGAGAGTTGGAAGTTTGAACAACAGTTGTGATTATTTCTTCTATTTTATCTTCTAAAATCCTAGAAAGAGCCTAAGTACATATAGAAAGTTGCCTTTAACCGAGTGAAGTCTACGTTGCACGCAAGTAATTATATTTCTCCAAAAATTATATAAAATAAAAAAAATCGCAAGTGTAATACGCTCAAGCAACCATATTCCAAATAGCGATTATCCCGAAAACGAAGAGTTTTATTTCGGCATAAGGTGCTAGTGAATTAGGGTAGTCACCAACGTGATCGATGATGATGCGTTGTTTTAGAAAAAAGTAAGTCGCGTGGGCGTAGGAGGAGGGGGCCAGGTCGGGCAAGGGGTACAAGCGGTCGAGGAATCCGGTGCAAGCGGTCAATGGTGGAGGCAACAGCATCCATCCTATCATCATCATCACCATCATCATCATCATCACCAACATCATCACCATTATCATCATCAGGCCGGTTATTACACGTCGCAATCGCATACTCACAACAATCCTGTCACTACCATGAAGCAGTCTTACATGCAGGTTGGTCAACTTGTATTGTCACGCATGTCACTTTTCTGTGCTCGCTTCGCGTGTTCATCGACTACGTGTCCTTCCTGTTCGTTGTCGAACGATACGATACGACCTTAAGTGGCGTTTGCATCGGCCAACTTTTAGCCGATCGGCTCAACTCGTGCGCGTGAACGCAGTTTCAATCGACAGAAACTTCTGATTGAACTTCTAGTTACCCTTGTCTATTTTTGGTGGCATTACGTCGTCATAAAAATCGCAATTGACCTCTGACGCGAGGTTCAAATACGTTGTCTAGCGGAATCGATTAACCTTCGATTATTCAGAACTCGAGGAAAAATCAGGATGACTCTAGGATCCAAAATACTGGCCAGATGTAACGCCAGGTAATCTCGTATCGAAATCACCTGTAGTTTAGAAATTTCTAACTTGTCCAAAACTCCCAAATCACACGCAAGCCGTTTCAGAAGATAAAAGTATTTGGCACTCGGTGCTTTCAGCCGAGTAACGGGTTCAGCCTGGCAAAAGTTGTCTAATGTAAATGCCGCTTAATCGCTGTCGATCTACCACCGATCGCTTGGTCAGCATACGTGTACTTTCGTTTGTTAGCACGTAGTTTACGTACATCGAGATAAATTCATTAGGGTCTGTTTGTTTTTTTGGTTGCAGCTAACATGGGTGTTTCATGACGACGAGGCGCAGATTAATAAGAAACTGCCAAAAGAATTGCTTCTTAGGTATCGTAAAAACGTATCTTCTCGTTCCTTTTTGTATCCTCCACTTTCGACAATCTCGTTTATCGCAAACGACGATCTTCTCTCTGTGTGGTTTTTTCTTATTATTTTTTTTTAAATATTGTGCCGCGTTCAATTGTTTAGAGATTCGTGTATAGACTGATACGTGGTTTGATCGAGAAAGCGAGTAACACGATTGTCCATTGGTAGAATCCTGTCGTATCTCGACGTGGTGTCACTATGCCGATGCGCGCAAGTGAGCAAAGCCTGGAACGTGTTGGCGCTAGATGGATCCAATTGGCAGAGAATCGATCTGTTCGATTTCCAACGAGATGTGGAGGTAAATCGAGCCACCGTTGCTTATCACCCGGTCTTGATCTCTCGTTTGCCGATCAAAATCTAATCGAAGTCCGAGTGTCAACTCGGTGCTAAGCAACGTGTCGAGAAGCTTGCAGTTGGACGAGTTCAACTCCGTTTTTACCTGCTGTTCCTTATTATGGAAATATCTTCGTCCGCTGTTTAAAATTGCAATAAATTTTTACCTGCAATTTGCATCTACGTACACGTAATTAAGAATCTGTTAAAAACGGAGCTGCATCCCTCCTGCAAGGTCCTCGGTCTTCTTTGATTCTAACGCAATACGTTCGATGAACACAGGGACCAGTTATAGAAAATATCTCGAGACGATGCGGCGGTTTCCTGAGACAGTTGTCCCTCAGGGGATGCCAGAGCATCGGGAACAATTCCATGCGCACGTTGGCTCAATCGTGTCCAAACATCGAGGAACTAAACCTGAGCCAGTGTAAAAAGATCTCAGACGCCACCTGCGCGGCACTCAGCAGTCACTGTCCGAAACTCCAACGACTGAACTTGGACTCGTGTCCCGAAATAACGGACATTTCCCTGAAGGATCTCTCGGAGGGTTGTCCCCTTCTCACTCACATCAACCTGTCCTGGTGTGAGTTACTTACCGACAACGGAGTCGAAGCATTGGCGAGAGGTTGCAACGAACTCCGTAGCTTTCTCTGCAAAGGCTGCCGTCAGTTGACGGACAGGGCTGTCAAATGTCTGGCCCTTTACTGCCCCAATTTGGAGGCGATCAATCTACACGAATGCAGGGTACTCGCCGCTACAGTTATCCGCTGTTACGCTCGTACGACGTCCTTTTCAGAAAATTTTGTTTTGCGGAAGGAACTCGCACGAGCGTAATCGGCTGACAGATTGAGCGTCCTTTTACTTTCTGGTCCAAAGAAATTGCACAAAAGTATCGTACTCTGCTACGAAATGTCCAGACTTCGCGCAATAGGATTGTGTTCAGCGACGCTGAATCTGTCAACCGCTTGGAACACGAAACAGACAGGTTTCTGATAACAGATTGCTTGCAGAATATAACGGACGATGCGGTTCGAGAACTCAGCGAACAGTGTCCACGATTGCATTACGTCTGTCTGTCGAATTGTCCTAATCTAACGGACGCGTCCCTGGTTACCCTGGCACAGCACTGTCCGCTCCTCAGCGTCCTCGAATGCGTGGCTTGCACTCATTTCACCGACGCGGGATTTCAGGCCCTCGCGAAAGTGAGTTCGATCGCTTTTGGTTAAAACGATTACGATTTAACGGTGTTCCTATTCGATTTCAGAATTGCAGACTGCTAGAAAAGATGGACCTGGAAGAGTGCCTTTTAATAACAGACGCCACGCTCATTCACCTGGCCATGGGATGTCCAAGGTTGGAGAAATTGGTGAGCGATCTTGAATCTAGAGTTAGTGGTAATAGCATAAGTTCATTACAAGAATTGGTGCTTCACGAAAACAGAGTCTGTCGCACTGCGAACTGATCACCGACGAGGGCATCCGGCAATTGGCTCTTTCGCCGTGTGCGGCCGAACATCTGGCGGTGCTGGAATTGGACAACTGCCCCCTCATCACAGATGCTAGTCTCGATCACCTTCTACAGGCCTGCCACAATCTCGAGCGCATCGAGCTTTACGACTGTCAACTGATCACCAGGGCTGGCATACGTAGACTCAGAGTACTGTATCATGCGTTTCATCTAACTTTGACTATCTCGGTGTAAAGCTGGAAAGAAGTCCTTCGAGACTTCTCCAATCCAAAGGAGATGGCATTAAGATGGCTATGCTATTGCTTCAATATTAATCGTTAGAATTAATTGATTTCATCCAAATGTCGAGTTTCCAGCTTTGTACAGTAGAGTTGTTGCTCGTGAGCAGCATTGAATCAACTTCGATACATTCTCGTAATTGTATGTATCTTGCAAATAACTTGGTGGCACCGTTATTCGTGTACAGTAGCAACACAAATATGTCGATATCGATTTGATGCTGTTTTCATGCTGTGTCGGTAAAGACGACCACCTTCGAATTAGTCATAAACGACCTGTTCGCATCAGAGTAGTCTAATTGTGCTTACAAACCTATGTACTATTTTACATGATTAACCGTTTGTCGTTCTTATTTCAGACTCATTTGCCGAACATCAAAGTCCACGCGTATTTCGCGCCGGTAACACCTCCGCCAAGCGCAGGAGCATCACGGCAACGATATTGCCGGTGCTGTGTCATTCTGTGATTCTGCATACGCACGTGACTCTGATGCAAATCGTCCGATGTACCACACTACCGGTGGACCTTTCAGTGATCGCTGGTTGCGGCAATCGTGGGACCTTCTGTTCCGATAACCAGAAGACCAGACCCCGAGACTCTGGGTCGTCGACAACAGTGAGAACGAGCCTCATCGTGAATCGCGACTCCTTCGATAACCATTCGACTTACAACACGCAACGAGTGCAACAACAGTACGTCACCGTCGTTTACATATACACACACACAGACACATACATAGCCACACAGCTGCTGCTGCAATCACTATTATTGTGTCGTTGCTACTCTAACTACTACTACTACTACTACTATACTACTACTACTACTACTACCGCTACTACTATCCAGTAACCGTTATCGCCGCTGTTCAACGCTGTCGCGGCATCGTGATCAAGGTTTCTACCGTGATTGTATTCGTTTTGGTAGCACTCGCATTCGCTAATTGTCGCCATTGTTCCACCTCGTGCGTAGGTGACGATTTCGCGAAGGAAAGAAATTCCTGGGTTCTCGCTTCGTTTTCGTTCGCATCCGTTGCATCGACTCCATCAGCAGACAACGACGATACGCGCGATCGAGCGTACGCGAGCGTATTTTTTCTCGATGCGACACGCTTCGCGTTCCTACGGGCCAACACCGTGGATGTTCCACGCGAAAGGAAAATAACACAGATGATAAGCGTATATACATATATATATATTATATATATACATATATTTTTTTAGTACGATACATTCTCTCTTCTGCTGAACACGATTGTCGAAGAGAAAACGCGCGATCCGTACCGAACGATGACGGCACACAAACATGCGTCCAATGGTCACGCATTTGTTCGGATTTTAAAAAAACAAAGAAGGGTAATACTCGTCTCGAGCTACGTACACCGCCCTTGTTCTATTCTAGACACTCAATTTCTATCGAACTTTCGTGCGTGTCTGTGTGTATACGTGTGTGTATGCGTGTTTCTGTAGCAGTTTCTCAACGAACACTGCCTATTATAACGTTATTGATTAAAAGGAAACGGAAAATGTCCAACAAAAAACGTGCAAAAACTACAAAAAAAAAACGTAAAACGTATATATAAACGGAATAAAAACGACGAAGAAAATAGTAAACGGGAGAAGGGGGACTACGAGCGTCTTAGAGATCGCAGACTTTTCCGAATCTCGTCGTTTAAACCGTAGAGACATACCGTCGTTCGTTTTAGATCAACACGCGAATTATACGTGTCTTCGACTGGAAATTTCATTATATCGTTTCCTCTTTCCGTTCGGTCGTGTGCAACTTAGGCTTCCTTTAAGTAAACTATTTAGGGGAAGAGCTTGCTTCAATCATCTGCGAAGACGTTTCTTGGTTTCATTTCTGGATTCTCCTTTAAAGGAAAATTAACAAATTTCTGAATTACAATTTGGGAGTTTGACAATTTACAAAATACCATCTTCTTAAATTTCTACATCTCAAAATCTGGGAGTTTTAAAAATTGAAATTTCCATGCATCACTGTGTTAGACTCCTGACTTATGTCTGAGCCCTTCCTAGACATCCTATGTTTTTCTCTAACTCTTCCAAGATCAGAAGTGAAGCTTTATCTTGAAGGTAGCCTACGTTGCATCCGAAAGTAAACGAAAGAAGACGAAGTTCACGAGGTATCACCGGCGACTATTAAACGACACCTACGAATTTCTTTCCTTTCACGAGATTTGCGACGTCGCGGCCAACAACACTTACCCAGAACGGAAGTTAGAACACAGGGATGAATCCAACGCGGTTGTTGTTATTGTTGACTTTTCAACAACGAAGAGAAGAAAAGAGAAAATGAGAGAGAAAGAGAGACAGGGACACGACGGAGCCAATGGCCGTCGTGTTTGAATTTTCGCGTTTAATCGTTGCTAGCGTTTTACGGTGGCACATTTCAGATGCATTTTACGAGGATTCGCGGACAAAAATGCCATAACGTTATCCGCGAATCGGAATTATCGAGCCTCAAAAACCGTATCGTATTTCTCCCTCACGGTCCCGGACATCTTGTTCTTTGTATTATACATATGTTCTTTTTTGTTCGTTATTTTCCCTCCTGTTTCTTTCTTTTCTTCTTCTTTTTTTTGTTTTTGTTTCTTTTTTTTTCTTTTTAACTCATCATGGACTAGGAGAGCACAGACTGACAAAACGAATCAAATCGTTGATACGTTGAACCGATTCACTTTGGGCCGGCCACCGAATTCGCCGGCCTCACACTTTACTTTTTAAGCCTAGCTTACGGAATGATGGCGGTACGAGAGCCGCGAACGTAATCCGGAAACGCGGAATCGACGATCTTCGGATGATCGTTACGCGATCGGGTATTCGACACGCTCCGTGATTAGGTGATTACCGGTGATGGGCATTTGATACTTGTTCTTGTACATTTTCCTGCTGTTCGATCGTTTCGTTGAATCGCGGATCGCTTCGGTGCCTGCTCGATGTTTCGCGTTCTTGAAGCGATAGCCTCCTAGATCTTACAATATCGACTCGAATTTCATTCTTTACAACAGTATTTATCAGAATTTCAGACAGTTTAATTTAGTTTGCTATTCGTCGACGTTTCATGAAGAGTACAATAGAGGATTTTCAGATGCAAGGAAACATAAAATTATGTAGTACTATTAAGAGAGATCTTCGAAAATGTCTGACTTCGAATGGTAATCGAGGCGAGTCGAAATATTCCGAATCGAACCTGGCCCATCACCGGTGACTAGGTTGTCGACGAGACAACACGAAGAAATACATATTTGTACCCTGGCCCTCGAACGGGTGTTGATACGATATGCACAAACGCAGAAAGGAGCAGACGAACGAACGGTGCATGGATATGTGGCCTCGTGATTTAATGGAGACCTCAGACAATCGATACTGGCTTCATCATTGCCAAAAGACTTTGAGAATCCTGACGTACTGACTATATAAGTTATACTAATTTTCGCGGTATTGCATGCTCGATAAGAATGCATTTATTTTTCAACGCTTCTAAGCGTTTTTATTCGTTCGACAGATCTGTCGAACAATATTCGTGATATTTATTACAAGTTTTATACTTTATCAAATTGATACTACACGTCAATTATTGGTACATCCATTGCGCTAATGATCTTTACCTTTTAAAGAAACCTAACCGTTTCTTTGTATTTTAAACTTATTCCAAGATTTTTAATTAACTTTATCTATGGAACCTTCACGTTTCTCTAACGTGATATTAGTCAAATACGTCCGATCGATGCGGAAATTGTCCAGGTTAATTATCGATCGTCGGAGGTCTCCATTACGACGATCGACAGTTCGGAAACCGCGCGAAGGAACAGTATTTCGGAAGCTCGAATTCCAGGATGACAAAGCGTATAAATTGTGCGAAACGCAGAGTCCAGATCGTGAGAAAGTTCACGACAGTTCGGGTTCGTGATCGACGTTTTTAATTTTTGCTAAAGGAATCGTCGCGTCGATTGTTGTGCACGCACGTTTTCTTGCCGTGGCCAGGATACTCGAACAGGATGAAGGAATCGAATTTCCGGTGATCGCAAATATTTTTAAACGGAAGAAAACGATCCATCCCGAGGGTGCGAAATTGAATTGGCTCGAGAACACCCCGTTTTCCCTCCTTCTCGTTGTTTCGATAATTCGAGGAGCCAACCGCAGCGTCGTTGGCGTTGAAAACGATCCTTGCTGACGAGTAAGAAACGTACATCGCGTATATGTGTATTGAATATATAGCGTGTAAACGAAATACCGGATGAAGCAACTAGATATATGAATATATATATATACATACATATATATATATTAATATGAAGTATATATATTAACAAAAAAGAAACAAAAAAAAAACCGTAAAAAATATTAAATATATAGATAAGATATGTTTTATACGCTGCATGTCATCCTTAGAAGGATTAACGTGATCATCGTAACGTGTCGTTCGAAGTGAAGATTTTATCCTTTCTTTTTTTTATGTTTTCTTTTTTCTAGAAGATAAGCGATGCTCGTTACGTGCACGATGTGTAATCATCAGCGATACGCGCAAGGGAATCAGCAGGTGTAGATCAGATTTAACTTAGGCAGACGGACAAAAAATGGACAATTTCGCCACTTTATCCGCAACCGTGATACGGTTCTCGACCTCGCAGGGTCTCACCGAGGAACCTGTTTCCGTTCTTTCGTCCACGTTCTTCCTTCAAATTTTATTTGCGCTCCCGAACCTAATTTTATTACATGGCAAATTGTAATTCTAACTCGACATTTTTCTCCTCGATGTAATTTTACCGAAGTATTTTAACTATAACAGGATTGCGAACGTAGTACTCTTGCCATGAGATGCAACACGAAAAACGCAACGAAATTAGGTTCGCGATGTTCGGAGCGCAATGTTCATTGCAGGATTGTCGGGTGTCTCGATCGAGTTCGGCTCAAAATATGAAGTCAATCGCAGTGCCTGAATCGCCGCAAAATTGTAATATAGTAGTCGAAATTCCACGGGTAATCACAGTGTGGCGGGGGATGTTAGACAAACGAGATGAAAACGAAAGAAACTAAACTTATCCTATCGATCGCCTGACAATCATGCATCACTTGTTCGGTACTATTACCGAATGAAAGTTACCCAAAAATCGACGCAGTTGTCTTCAGAATCTGAGTATCGTTTAACCGCTTCGTTGATCAAATTTTAAAAGAACGATTAGATACTAAGTATTCAGATTTTGGAAGACGTGTTTAGAGTACTACAGTTCGAAATTTTTCAAGGAAGAACGAATAAAATACTAAACGATAGTATTACAACAATCATCCTGTTAAGATAATTTGCAATTCTATTTGATTTGTGGCACTCGAACGTCCATCGCAATTACTTAATTCCTCGATATTGGACACCCGTCAAAAATCGTCCGTGGCAAAGACAGAAAAAGCAAACTATCCAGAAAAGATCGGTAGTTTCTTATTTTTCATACTCGATCGTGAAAATGTTATTTTAATAAGACCGTTGGTGATCGATCACCGAGACGTGCCTGGCAGATCTCGACGATCGATCATGAACGAATCGGTGAATCGGCGTGATCGGTTAGTACAACAAAATTGTAATGTCGAGTATCGTGTAGAATTGAGTCCCGTTACGTCGACAAATTTACGAGACGCGAGAGCCTGTCGGGAATCCCGTTGTTCGGGCATAAAGGGAATCACGACCGAGTTTTCGAAAACGGTGTATGTACACTGGCGAGCACGGTACGCTTTCCTAGGGAATGATACGGGGGAAACTGACCCCGTTGCTTTTCGCTAGTAGATCTGATCTAGAAATTTTTCAATTCGGCTACGTGAAAATTAGCCAACTTTTTCATGGAATATTGGCAATCAGAATTTTTTGGAAAATGCTCCCCTACGCTTGTCAGCCAAAGGAAGCCGTTGCACCGAAGTGTACATAATCGAGAGATAACGAATCATGAATCGTCGATAAATTGATAGCGAAGCGTACAAAATAGAAACAAGAAACAATTGTACGACCGATTGCAGTGTTGTGTAAGTCTGTTGTAAAGAACACGTCGTCGCGAAGAGGTGTCGTCGACGTTGAAAATAATGACGCGAATAAGAGATGGGAAGCTGAAGAGAAAAGCTTTGAAACCGAGTGATCGAACAAGTGTTTGGCTGTGCAGTAGAATAGGAAAGAGACAGAGAAAGAACGTTAGAGAGAAAGTGAGTTTAAAGAGAGAAAGAATGAGAGAACGAGAGAGGGTGTGAGAGACAAAGATTCAACATGTTAATCGAAGCCAGCGAAAGTATAATTACCATGTGTCCCCAGTTATATGTGTTTTATCCTGTGTACCCACGAATCATTTTTATTCTCCTTTTCGGAAAAATCGAAACAAAACGAGCGTAATTCGGTATAGTCGAAATCCTTTAACAAATGGTCTACGCGTGTCGGCCTACACGTGCCTCCCGGACAAAAAGATTAAGAAACAGACACAGGTTCGCGTACGAATACTGTAGCTGATTATACATTGACATTTTCGCTGCTTCGACAAGCTACAGTCTACCATGTATATATTTTCATTAATGTATGTATAATAAAAAAAAAGTATATTCGAGACAACGATCGGCTCTGTTCTGTGTGCTCTTGTCATTCTCACGTGGGATATATCGAGGGCAGCACCGCCAAAAGGATCAATTTTCAAACTTACAAACTATCAACCTTAAAACTTCCAAAATCCCAAAATTTACTAATTTGGAACACTTGGATATTTAGGAAATTCGGGAATCTAGGATTTGACAAACTTGAGAATTAGAAAATTTAGAATACTCGAAAATTTGATTTATTTCTACTTTGCGTAAAAAAAACTATAACTCACAAACTCCAGCGGTAGTTCTGTCGACGATTATATACCTTTCAAGTTACAAATCTTTCCAGAGAATATTTTTTGCTCCTGGATATAATCACACACACTTTTTAGAAATAAATTTTAAAGAGACCTTTCATGGATTTGTAGAATGTATTAAAACGGTACGTATCACTTCTCTCGCGTGGAAGCTGTGCTTTGTGTCAATAAATTTTCAGTGATGCTGAGAACTTCAAGCGCATTTCAACTTTAATCGCTCGGTTTTCTTCCTTTTATTTCGTTCAAGTATAAATGCATCGTTTCGCAACGCGAGGAAAGAAGATGGAATGCAAGAAAAAAAAGATCGTTGATCCATGAATGAAAGAGCGCGCGTAGTATATTTTCTTGAATGAACTTACGCACGCATGCGCACGAGCTGCACTGCGCACGTTGCTTAGCAACGAGCTCCATTCGCGGAGCATGGCTGCCAGCTGATGTCTGGTTAAACTTGCTGTTCATTTTTTTTACCGTAAACGAGTACTTTAAATATTTTTACATGTCAATGGTTTAGATTACGTTTGTTTACCCATTTCTCTAGAGTAGAAACGTTCGATCGAACAGGAATAAGAAACAGGAGAATCATTTTCGATCGCTTTCACAGAAGTGAAGTTGACCTAACCTTCAAAAACTTCTTATATTGTATTCTTTTAGTGTTTATCATTGAGATAGTACAAACGCTAGTTGATTTTGTATAGGCACAATATGTTCTGTGATTTTAAGTTTAAGAAAAAGAAGTAGTATTCTGTCTTTTATGTCCTTTTTCTTACTGTAATTTGATAACAAGTAAACATAACCTAACTACTACTTCAAAAGCACTATGAGTAAATATAGAAAGAGGGAATCCTCGAGCGAGGATAGCGATAGTGAAGAGGAGAGACGTAGGAAGGATATCAAAGAAAGAGATGAATTTGCTAGTAGACTTAAGGCAAAAGATGAGAGCAAGATACGGAAGGTTGCTATGCCAGCTGGCTCTGGAGCAGGTACACTATGTTAACACATTTGCTTCCAAATAATGATCTATACTCTTGAGAAACATATTCATCACAAGTACATTCCACTTTATGTAGCTGAGGCAGCAAAGAGGCTCAAAATTATGGAAACTGACATGCGGGAGAAGTTATTGCCAAAACTGCGTGTTGAATCTCGTAGAAAATATTTGGAAAAGCGTAAGGAAGATAAAGTGGCAGAATTAGAAGCTGATATTATTGATGACGAATACCTGTTTGAGGAAGAAGTGTAATTATTTTACTAATATAATATTCAGTAATATACAGTTATGTCATGCTAACTGTTGCTTTTAATTATTAGCTTAACAGAGCGTGAAAGAAAAGAAAGGGAACATAAAAAGCAGTTGCTGCAGTTAGCAAAAGAACATGAGAAAGCTAGGGAACTTGAAAGGGTGCAAAGATATCATATGCCCTTGGAAAAGGGTAAGCTGGAACCAGAACCAGATGTACATGAAAATGAACCACCACAATCTGAACAAAGCAAGTGGGAATCTGATCAAATGTCATCTGCTGTTTTCCGTTTTGGTGCCAAGGATAGAAAAGGTATACAGGGTAGAAAAGTTACAATGGAATTTAGTCGATATTATCGATAAGGATTACCTGTGATGTTAATCCTTGATTGTAGCACAACAAGACTATGATCTTCTATTGGAGGACGAAGTCGAATTCGTTCAAGCGCTGCGTATGCCCGGCAGCGAAAGAGACAGGAAACGCGAGGAGAGTCCACCTCCTCAAGTGAAAGCTTTGCAAACTATACAAGAAACAAAGAAGAGTCTTCCAATTTACCCCTTCAGGAACGATCTCATTCAAGCCATCAGAGATCACCAGGTATTTCGCACAAATCTTACTAAATCAGTATCGTCAATCTTAAAACGTCTCATCTGTAGGTACTTATCATCGAAGGAGAAACGGGCTCAGGAAAGACTACCCAGATCCCACAGTATTTGTACGAGTCAGGATTCGCGGAGAATAACAAAATAATTGGTTGCACGCAACCAAGAAGAGTTGCTGCTATGTCCGTAGCTGCTAGGGTCGCTCATGAAATGGCTGTGAAGTTAGGGAACGAAGTGGGTTACGCGATCCGTTTCGAGGATTGTACTTCTCATCGTACTCGCATTAAATACATGACTGACGGTACTCTGCATCGCGAATTTCTCAGCGAACCAGATTTGGCTTCTTATAGGTATTAAAAATTTAATCCTTGGTGAACCAACAAATGGTCCAATGCATAGGGATGTAAGTCCAACCGAACATTGAATTTCTTTCAGCGTGATGATCATCGACGAAGCTCACGAACGCACATTGCACACCGACATACTTTTTGGACTGGTGAAAGACATCACAAGATTTCGGACAGACTTGAAACTCCTTATTTCGTCGGCTACTTTGGACGCGACGAAGTTCAGTGAATTCTTTGACGATGCCCCGATATTTCGGATACCCGGTCGACGTTTCCCAGTTGATATTTATTACACTAAAGCCCCCGAGGCAGATTACATCGACGCTTGCGTGGTTTCCATCCTTCAGATACATGCGACTCAACCTCCCGGCGACATACTAGTATTCTTAACAGGTACACGTTCCAATCCCCTAAATCGTGATTGAATCTCACAACGATTCTCGATTACTCTTTGTCTGGCAGGTCAGGATGAAATAGAGACGTGTCAGGAAATGTTGCAGGAGAGAGTGAGACGGTTAGGATCCAAATTGGCGGAACTATTGATTTTACCTGTTTATGCTAATCTCCCAAGTGACATGCAGGCGAAGATATTCCAACCGACTCCTCCTGGAGCAAGAAAAGTATGATTCCTTATTTTTTATTTGAATGGACACATTATTTTTGTGGTTTTATTTACAGGTGGTTCTTGCTACCAACATCGCGGAGACTTCTTTAACTATAGATAATATAGTATACGTGATAGATCCTGGGTTCGCGAAGCAGAACAACTTTAATTCTCGCACAGGCATGGAGAGTTTGATGGTTGTACCGATCAGCAAAGCGTCTGCTAACCAGAGAGCTGGTCGAGCCGGAAGAGTAGCTCCAGGAAAGTGCTTCCGACTGTACACAGCTTGGGCTTACCAACACGAGTTGGAGGACAACACTGTTCCAGAAATTCAGAGGATTAATCTTGGTAATATTATCATTTTATTTCTTCAGTCTCTGACTTAATCCAATTAGTTAAAATAATTGTGAACGTATTCTGTATAATTCGATCGTTACATTGCAGGTAACGCAGTACTGACATTAAAGGCGTTAGGCATAAACGACCTAGTACACTTCGATTTCCTGGATCCACCACCCCACGAAACCCTGGTTCTTGCGTTGGAGCAATTATACGCACTAGGTGCTTTGAACCACCGTGGAGAACTGACAAAGCTCGGACGAAGAATGGCTGAGTTCCCTCTGGATCCCATGATGGCTAAAATGTTGCTGGCCAGCGAACAGTACCGATGTTCTGAAGAAGTAGCCACCATTGCAGCCATGCTGTCGGTGAACGGAGCCATTTTCTACAGACCCAAAGATAAGATTATTCACGCGGACACAGCTCGCAAGAATTTCCACGTGCCTGGTGGCGATCATCTCACTTTACTGAACGTCTACAACCAGTGGCAACAAAGTGATTTTAGTACACACTGGTGTTACGAAAACTTCATTCAACATCGTTCGATGAAACGAGCTAGGGACGTGAGGGAACAACTAGTGGGTCTTATGCAGCGGGTCGAAATGGATCTGGTTTCTGGGATTACGGAAACTGTGAATATTCGGAAGGTGAGTGTTGAAGAACGTGTGGTGGAGTTTGGTTATAATTTAATTAATTTTTTAGGCTATCACAGCAGGTTACTTCTACCACGTGGCACGATTATCGAAAGGAGGACACTACAAAACTGCAAAGCACAACCAAACAGTATCGATTCACCCGAACAGTTCACTGTTCCAAGAGTTACCCCGTTGGTTGCTTTATCACGAGCTGGTTTTCACTACGAAAGAGTTCATGCGTCAGGTTAGCACTTTTTTCTTAAACTATAGTTTATTTTTTATTTTGAGTAGTGTCCACAGTAATGAATACACTTATTAACTTCTTAGGTGACAGAGATCGAAAGCAAATGGCTGTTGGAAGTAGCACCACATTATTATAAACCGAAAGAGCTGGAGGATTCGACGAACAAGAAAATGCCAAAAGTGACGGGAAGATCGCGCCCGGATGGAACCAATTAATCGTATAATTAATTAATACTTGTAACATTTATAGCTTGTATAAAAGTATACTGTACAAAAACTGCGTCTTTATAATATTATTTTTTAAATAAAGTTCAAACCATGAATAAAGTTATGTATTCTTGTATGGTGATTCTTGATACTGTGAACGATACAGGGAAAACAGAATACAAAAATCAAATTTAGAATTTGAGCTGTTGAGTTATGCAATACAGGAATACATTCCACGTTAAAGATGTATTAAATCATTACGCTTTATTGTAAATACATTTTATTTTGCTAAAAAAGTAAAATACCTTATTTGTATCCTCCTCCAAAAAATTCAGAAGTGTTATCCTCAATGTAGAGAATCGAACATACTTTCTACGTCCTGTCTCATTACCAAACGAAAGTAAACTGTTTCCATCCTTCCACGTGGGTCTCTACAGCCTTTGTGCGCTGTAAATAAATAAAAATCGTTTCTAGAAATGTCCCGTAGCGACGCGATAAATTATAAAAGCCCCCGAGGGGATTCAATACAAGCGGTTACAAAGATAAAGAGATTCATGAAAAGATAATCAAGCAATTAGCCGAGAAATAAACTGGAAATTACGAGAATGGTACGCCGTTACTTACTTTCTATGAAATACCACTTTCTAAAGCAACGGACATCATTAATTTTTAACACATTTTTGTGCACGAATGAAACGTAGCGAATGAAAAATAGTTCAGTGCAACTTGTGAGGAGACACGCGAGAACACGGTAGTAATGCAAGAATGAAATGTGTCGAGTGTTCTTAAATTCTTTCGAAATCGAGTTCTTTTAAAAATGACAATGATAAGATCAGGTAAACGTGTTTTATATTGAAATGTTCTCATTGGCGTAACTTGAAATCCTCGTATTTTTTGAAGTTTCCAAACTTTGTTATTTAAAATTCTTTTTAATTTTCATGTTGGTCAGTCTTTGAATTTTCTATCATCTAAATCCTTCAATACCCAATTTTTCAAATTCTTAATTTCCACAAAGTTCCTCAGCATCTAAATCCTACTTAAGCCAATGATCCATGCAACAAATATGAGTGAAAAGTTTTCTCAAAAATCTGCAAGTTATCTCTTTTTAAATCTGTTTCCTAAAAGCAGACCAGGAAGTGCACATTCTACAACCAGCCTTTAACATATTAACAATTTGCGGTTGCTGGAAACCGCGTAACTGTCACAACAGACCACGAAAGGTCGCGTACGTGTTCTACACGAGTTTCGTGTGCCTCGCACTGTACAGCTTTTGCATATCGCAATTCTTGAACTTGATAATTAACGTGAGGACAGCGGACGACCTTAGTGAGAGTCTATACATGTTCATCGCATCCGTCCTTGCGTGTTGCAAGATCGTCACGCTTTTGATCAATCGTAACGCTATCAAGGTTCTCGTGAAGAGACTTCAGGAAGAACCTAGTAAACCTAGGAACCGTGAGGAGAAGTCGATTCAGGACAAATTCGATAAGAATATTGGGTAACTGCAACTTTTTTTGATTCGGTTTTCTAATTTGACTCTTGTGGTTTTGTTTATTAGTGGAAAATGTCAGGAGTTATTTTTTCGAAGGATGTAGATTAATTTTTTAATTATACCAGTGTAGTTGTAGTTATACAATGACATAGTTTATTGAACATTTATTGTCTTCGATTAGGAACATTTTTTTTACTCAGACTTTGGGTAGATTTTTCACGCTGATACTCCTCGAAATTCACCCCCATAAATACCAAAAATAAACCAATCAGTGGTTCATCTTTGAATACAAAGTCCGTGGCTCATCTTTGAATACAAAGGTGTTACACAAAAAGAATGAGAATATAAATAACATTTGCAGGTCCATAACAATTTACTACACGATCCTAGTGGAAATCACGGTCGTCTGCATGATCTTATCCTCTCTGTACTCTGACTTCAAGGACCGAAAACTATTATACAGAGCTTGGTTACCGTTTAACTATTCCATATCCAAGCTCTATTACATGGCGTATGTTCATCAGATTACTTCTCTGGTTGGAACATCGCTTCTCAACGTGGCGTGTGACGTGACCTTCTGCGGTCTTGTCGTGTACGGGTGTAGTCAACACGAGATTTTGAAATGCAGGTTGAAAGGACTCACCAAGGAGTCAAATGTGAACATTGGAAAAATTGTACACTTTCATGATCACTTGTATGGGTTAGTTTCATGTCTTTAAATTGAGAAACTTTAAGTGTCCCTCGGAGATAAAATATTTGTTATTTAAATCTTGTTCAGTTTATCAATTTGGCTAAGGAAGATTAACTGATTTAATTAAACCAAGTAACTGTATTTTTATAACACTTGCCAGTTTGCTTGGAAGATGTCTTCGATCCTTTGATCATTCATGTTTATGTCTTTGATCAATATAATTATTACAGTGAACATTATAAATTTATTTCGAAACGTAGGTACACTTCCATGGTGCAAGAAAAGTTTCAAATAATAATGGGTATTCAATTAGCATCCAGTACTCTGGTAGTCTGTTTCATTTTGTATAAACTAACAAACACTCCTATGAACTCGACGTATCTGCAATTTGTTCTTTACATGGCTTGCATGATGTCGCAGATCTACTTTTACTGTTGGTACGGAAACGAGCTCAAACTGAAGGTATTTGTTGACTTAAATGTTGATCCATGTTATTGCACTATGATAATATGAATATGAATATTGAACATAAAAGCAGTAATTATTAAATTGCAAGTCACTCTTTCCTATCTTGATTCACAAGTACAGAGCGTCGAGGTAGTAGACGCCATTTCTGAAATGGACTGGATGTCGCTCGACAACAAGAGCCAGAAAGACCTGATACATATAATGAGGAGAGCACTGAATCCAATTGAATTGTCCTGTGCATATATTTATACGATGGATCTTAGCACCTTCATGAGCGTTAGTAAAAAAAACTATTATATATTTGCAAATATATTATATATACAAATTTTTACAGATACTGAAAATGTCCTACTCGGTGTATAATTTACTTCAAAGGACGTAATTCGAAATTCGTTTTCAAAGTATGAGTTGCAATAGCGTTCTTAGACTTTCAAATAAAAAATGTGTACAATGAAGGATATTACTCAGACTTTCAGTCACACTTTGCACACTTTGAGAAATTGCGACACTCGCACGATATTTCCTCTTCGAGTTGTCTCTTTCGACTAGCGTTCAAAGAAAATCCCCTTCTAGACTGTTTAATTATTCAGGTCCCAAAGAATCTATGGTTTCCGTAAGTGGATCGCAACATTATTTTCAGCGTAAACAGTCGCATGAAATAATGGGTAGTACAATGTGTTCTGTCATCACGTTCTGTATGAAATTACCATGATCCCAAATAGAAGGGGATACTCTGAGAATTAAAAGTCCCTCTGACGGTCACTTATTTCAGAGTACAAATAATATATGTAGACATTCTACAGTTGTTTCCTTCCACGGTATCGAGACTGTCGACTATACAGATCCTTGCGAGGTAGTCGAAGAGTTCACAAGTAAAGACAATAAACTACACAACACAATCGTGGAATTTATCGTGAAGGAACAAAATCGTGGAATTTAGTTGTTGGAATCACACTTTTGTGTTCATCGGAAATTAAATAGAAAAGAATGCAATTAATGCGATGGACGTTTCGAGTTCTGACGATGTGCGGCTGTTGGCGACCTCGATCTTGGGCATCGACGTACAAGAAACTCCTGTACACCGTTTACACGGTCTTCGTGTTCACACTATTGAACACTGTCATGGTCCTTCAAATCATGGACTTGGTGTTGAACGTGGAAAATCAAGATGAACTGAGCGAAGGTTTCTATATGATGCTGACGATGTTCGTTGCTTGTCATAAGATGTATAGTATATTGACGAGCAAGAAGAATATTGTTGCACTCACTCGTATTTTGGAAAATGAACCTTTTCTACCGGAAAATGAGGAAGAAGTGGATATTCGGAAGAAATTTGATGATATTGCCCAGTAAGTTGCTGCTGTAATATTAATTTATAGCTTTGGATAATGGAACTGAGATTACTATCCTCCTTCGTAGATTTCTAGATTCTTATATTTCTAGATCTATTTTGCAGATTTCTAGATCAGTGGAATCTCACATTTTAGATCCATGAATCTTATATTTCGACATCCCCCAATTCCCATGTCCCCAGGTCTCTATACCCCCAAATTTCCATATCCTCAAGGTTTCTACGCCCCCAAATTTCTACGCCTCCAAATTCCCATATCCCCAAGATTTCCACGTCCCAAATTTCTACGCCTCCAAATTCCCATATCCTCAAGGTTTCTACGCCCCCAAATTTCTACGCCTCCAAATTCCCATATCCCCAAGGTTTCTACGCACCCAAATTTCTACGCTTCCAAATTCTCATGTCTCCAAATCCCTATACTCCCAAATTTCTACACTCCCCAATTCCCACGTCCCCAGGTCCCTACACTTTCGAATTACTACACCTCCAAATTCCCATATCCCCAAATCTCTAAACCCCCAAATTCCCACATCTCCAGGTTTCTACATCACATCCAGGTTCCTTAAAATTTCTACACCCCCGAATCACTATACTGTAAAACCTCCACATACCGAAATTTCCACATCCCGTGGAAATTTCTTCCAAATCTCCATATTTCTAAATCTACATATCCTCTAATCTGTCCCCCAAGATTAGATCCTGGACCCCTAATTCCTAATTAAGTACTCCTATCGTTACAGAAAGCAAGCATACGTATACACGACCGCGATCGAAGTGGCAGTGCTATTTCAATCATGTGTCGGCGCGTTAAACATGGGAGGGCAAAAATTACCCTTCAGAATGTGGTTGCCTCAGAAGTATCTCTCACTGACAGTGCTGGTTATTGCGAACATTCAACAAGCTATGTCGTTGATCACGGGTGCGTTGGTGCACATTGGCTGCGACAATTTAATCTGGGGACTGTTGCTTCACACTTGCAGTCAAATCGAGATTCTTGAGTATCGTTTGAGGGCGATTAAACCGGGAGAGAGTCAGTCTGCGAAATCGTCCGCGCGGTATCATGATCTCGTGTATCGGTTGGTTTTCAAATTTGTTATAGGTATTTGAATAATTGAGTACTCGTTTATGTAAAATAAAAAGCCTTTATGATTTAGTATTGTAACTGACTATAATGTAACCCTTTGCACTTGAGAGGCGCCTCTCAGGCACCATTCGATTTAATACAATAATTTGAAACAAGCATTATTTAATTAATTCAGACAATAGTGGAAATTATTAGTAGAGAAATAATAACCTCAAAAGAACTCATTTAATATTTGAATTAATGTTTTAAAGTTGCTGCTTGTAAACAATAAAATTATCTTCGAGTGCAAAGGGTTAATTTGTAAATAAGGAGATTTAATTTAATTTAATTTGTAAATAAGTAAATAAGCAGAGAACTTAAATTTATGTGACTTGTCAAGAACGTTCAATTTTTGTTCCAATTAAAATTTCATCAAAATCAGAATGTGTCCTCTAAAAAATTGCAGATTCGCCAAAATGATAAACGAAGAGTTCAAAATGGTAATTGTCGTGCAGTTCACCGTGACTACAATGATCGTGTGCTTCAATCTCTACCTACTCTTAACAACCGAAAATATGAACACGAAGTTTCTGATAGTGGTTTTGTACACGTGCAGCATGCTGACACAGATATTCATTTATTGTTGGTACGGGACTAAAGTTAAAATGAAGGTTCGTTCACGAGTACGAATTGCAACTTAATTTTTTACGTTGACAACCCTTGTTTTGCGAACAGAGTCTCGAAGTGTCAGACATGGTATTTAGAACTGACTGGATGTTCTTCAGTAAGGATGTGAAGAGAATTCTGTACGTGATCATGAGACGTGCCAATGTATCTATTGAATTTAGAAGTGCTCACGTTGTTTCTATGAATCTCGAAGCTTTTGTGAACGTGAGTACATTATGATATATTTTCTGTTCTTGTTAGAAATAATTAAATTTGATGCAGTTACTCAAAACCTCTTACTCGGCGTACAACGTGCTGAATGGTAAAACTTAACATGAATTGAAGCAAAAATGATTGTCAACTATCGCCAAATAAGATGGGCTAACAGGAAAATCACGCATAATGCACTGAACGTATAAGCAACGAATTTATCGTATTTACTCCATTAAAAATTTTTCTTAACGTTTCTTCCTTCTCTCTTTATTCAACGTGTCAAATATACTGAAAGATACTTTACCTTCCTCTGTGTTAATTTTCTCCCACGTGTCATAAATATTTCTCCCACGTATTTCATAAATAATATCAAATTGTTAAGTCGATAAAAAGAATCTTACTGTTGTCTTCATAAAAATTGTCACAGACTGCTGATACAATGTTTACTGTTCAAACATCCTCTTTCGATTGACTCGTCGGAAGAACGTGCTCCGTTTTTTACCTGTTTCATTATTTACGCGTGGATGGAGTAAGACAAGTAATCTTCAACTTGAATTTGAATTTTGTCTAACTTTAACTGGTAAAGTTAACTTGGTAAATTAATGTAATCGCCCAATATATTTTTATTTTCACTATGGTCGAAGATTTCTTTACGAGTATCTGTCCGAGTGACTCAGAAATTGTGGCACAACGCACGACATTTCCTGACTAAGCAATGCCTTACGACTGAATCGCTAAAAGAGCATACATTCCCTACCTCTTTTATTATTCACCGTTCATGCTTCATCGAATTGTATACGCAAAACCCCTGATGAATAGATACTTCTCAGGGATAATATTATAGACAGACACAGTAACAAATAACAGGAACTAACTTTGCAAAAAGACACATAAATATTTTCGTGCTCTCAGAGAATATGAACGTAGAATATTTTCGATGAGGGGAAATCTGTGAAGTATTATTCCTTTAGGATAAATGCAAGGTTCAAATAAAATAGATACTCTATGGTCGTACATAGTGCACCTTTTCATTATTCAGAAATTGTAGCATTGTCGAAAGGAGAGCAAGAGGTAGAGAAAGAATTCTGCTTCCAAAGATAATCCAAGTGAACGACGATGGTCGACAGAAATGCATTCGAACTATCGTAGCTGGAAGAAATCACGTTGAGAACAGATGAGAAAATATAAAACGAAGGACTGACTTTTGTATTGAAAATCGAATCGGTATGCAAGTGTTACAGTGGATATTTCAGCTTCTGATACTGTGCGGTTGTTGGCGACCACCCTCTTGGACGACGCCCTTCAAAAAGTACCTGTACACCGCCTACAGCATGTTTCTGTGTATAATAGTGTCAGCCATAACGTTCCTTCAACTTATGGACTTGGTATTGATAGTAGAAAATCAAGCCGAATTCACCGATAATATTTATATATCGCTGTCGATGATTATTGCTTGCTACAAAATGTACAGCATATTACTGAGTCAAAAGAACATTGGTGTTCTGACTAATATTTTGGAGGACGAGCCTTTTCAACCGAAGAACGAGGAGGAGATCGAGATTCGGCGGAAATTCGATAACAAAGCCAAGTAAGTTTTTTAGTTTCTAAGTAATGCGTTTGAGATCTGTGTATGGAGGACACACATGATTACAGTTTTCTTGTTTTGCCACTACTGCAATATTTTTAATTACTTATATTCTTCTATCGTTATAATGGGAGGGATTTGCATAGAAAGTTTTGTATGAAGAGTATTGTAGGGAGTAGAATGGGATTTCTTTAGAATGTGAGATATGGAGATACAACGCGAGAGTATTCTACGCATAGCAATCTATCATGTTATATTACGCGTGGCAAGTGGGGATTTATTCAAAGTGATCTATCATGTAATAGCAATCTGTAGTGACTAACACGTTAATTCAACGCGTGGTGATATAACGCTTTGTGAACACAACGCGTGGTAATCCAATTCGTGCTGATCCGGTACGCCTGGTAATTCTACGCGTAGTAATCCAATCGTGATGCAACGCGTTAGAATGCAATAATTCTCTGCGTGGTAATTCAACGCTTGCATCTGTGTTGAAATGATCGCTGTCCACATATCAACCTTAACACGTTACAAAGCAATATATTGACGCTCAAATTAATTTCAGTCAAAAATCGTAGTCACATGCAACTTTCTATAACCATTCCCCAGGACCTTCCACAGCCCCATACAAAAATTAACTCCATATCACCATTGCAGGCAACAGGCAGTTTTATACACGCTCCTAGTCGAATCGTCAGTGACACTCTACGTCTGCGTCGACATCTTGAAATTCGACGACAAGAAATTACTATACAGAATATGGCTACCCAGCGAGCTTCTGCCTTCGGTACACATCTTCATTTATCTCCAGCAATCCTTATCTCTGATCGTTGGATCAATAATACACGTTGCTTGCGACTCTCTGATCTGGGGTCTTCTGATTCACTCGTGTTGTCAGCTGGAAATACTGGAGGCCCGATTGAAGGCAATTAAACGAGACGATGATCAGTCTGCGAAATCTTCCGCTCGTTACCATAATCGTGTCTATCGGTTAGTTCTTGTTATTCCGATCACTGTGACGACTCGTTGAATGAATATAATTGCAGATACGCTAAGATGATAAACCAAGAATTTAAGATGATTATTTTCGTTCAGTTCACTGCTAGCACACTGGTGGTGTGCTTTTCTCTTTATATAATAGCCACGGCGAAAGATATGAATGATAGGCTACTGGTGATCGCGGTGTACGAGTCTTGTATGCTGGGACAGATATTCTTTTACTGTTGGTACGGTAACGAAGTGAAATTAAAGGTTGGTTGGGTTGATGGTTTACGCATTTAGGTGGGTATTATTGAGTACAAGTGTCGAACTTTAGTTGATTTCTTTTTTTAGAGTGTTCAACTTTCTGATGTGATATTCGGAACTGACTGGATGCAATTTAGTAGGGACACCAAAAAAATTCTTTCGGTGATTATGCGACGTGCCACGATGTCCATTGAGTTCACCAGCGTTTATATAGTGACTATGAACCTCGAGTCATTCGTAAGCGTGAGTATACACTAAGTACACAACTGTAAATCTGTTAGATAACAATTTTTACTTATACCTTTTGGCAAGAAAATATATTCGTTTCTTATTTGCACATGTTCAGTTTTCTGAATTTACCTTTAACTTGCCACTTTCCGAAATTAATATTTCGTTAATTAAAGATGTTTGTCGCAGTTGCTGAAAACTTCTTACTCTGCCTACAACATGCTTCAAAGTAGCCACGGATAGAACGGGCACGAATCGCTCGATCGTAGAAGAAAGAAGTTCACTCCCCGAAAAATTTGTCCCGATATGTAAATATACGACTTTAGAAATAGTAGTAGAAGTAGAACGTGTAGCATCGAACGAACGCAGAGAACATGTAGTAGAAATAAATTCGATAGAAAAACTAACGCACCCCACACAATTTTCTGCGTTTCCCTTCTTCGTCAATATTTCAAGTCGAAATTAATTGGAACCGTCTCTCATGTCGCTAGCATTTTCCTTTAAATATTAAGGGTTCTTTGAGACACTGTTTCAGTTTTGTAACCCTTCTGAGCGATTATGTTATTGCAATCAAATTACCGCTAATATTCTGCAACAGGAGGTACACAGTTACCTGGAGTTTGATATTATTATCATTGCACGGGTAATTGCATTGTACATGTAAAGGGTCAATTACGCGACAATCGACTTATTAGGGAGAACGCGGCTAATGTTGATGATTTTCCGCCGTCAGTGACATGCACACCGCGGTAGAATAACGTTCGACTTTTTGTATCATAGTAGCTCATTTGCAAATTGTTCGACATGCATCTATTTCAATAACTCAACTTTTTATCTCAAAACTTGTACCCTGCGGATTTCTAATAATGCAAACATTAAAATGGAGCTATAAAATACTTGATATTCTTGGATTCAGTTTGACATCTCATTGGACGTCGTTATGGAGGAGAGCCCTTTACAATTCCTACGGGATGATATTGGTAATATCTTTGCACTTCATGTCAGCTACTCAAATGTTAGACCTTTTCAACGTCACCAACCAAGAGGATTTTGTCGATAACTTGTATGTAACGCTGGTTTTCCTTTGCGATTGTTGTAAAACGATCATGCTACTACGTCGGCGGGGAAATATCGCGAAACTCATTGATGAACTTAAGGAGGAACCGTTCGCGACGCTGAACGCTGAGGAGACGGAAATACAAAGGAAATTCATGCAGCAGATCGAGTATGTTGACTTATATTTTATAAATATCGTTTCAAATTATTTTGGTTTATATTGCCTTGAATATTACTTGTCGTCGAGAGTCATACACGTAGATATTGTGTAATATATTACTCACACTGCGACATGATATTACAATTAATCTGTAATATTCATTTTGGTATTATAACGTGGAACAACGTATGAAAATAGAATGAGAGACAGAGGTAATGCGTGACAATGTAACTCGTGATAAGGCAACGTTTAGTAATGCAACGTGTGGTAATGCAACGTGTAGTAATGCAGCGCGTGGTAATGCAACGTGTAGTAATACAGCGCGTGGTAATGCAGCGCGTGGTAATGCAACGTATAGTAATGCAACGCGTGGTAATGCAACGTGTAGTAACGCAGCCCGTGGTAATGCAACATGTAGTAATACAGCGCGTGGTAATGCAACGTGTAGTAATGCAACGCGTGGTAATACAACGCGTGGTAATGCAACGCGTGGTAATGCAACGCGTGGTAATGCAACGCGTGGTAATGCAACGCGTGGTAATGCAACGCGTGGTAATGCAACGCGTGGTAATGCAACGCGTGGTAATGCAACGCGTGGTAATGCAACGCGTGGTAATGCAACGCGTGGTAATGCAACGCGTGGTAATGCAACGCGTGGTAATGCAACGCGTGGTAATGCAACGTGTAGTAATGCAACGCGTGATAATGCAATGTATGGCAATATAACGCGTGATAATGCTATGCGTGACAATTAGCACTTGGTAATTGAACCTATAGTAATTAAATGCGTGCCTAATTCACGCATGGTAACCTAACACATAATGCAACACGTGAATTTGCAATTTCCATGCACTTTTGCATCGTCAAACTTAACATAATTTATATTATCCCATAAAAGAGCACATCAAGTCACAAAAATATCCAAAGCTAAATATAAAAATTGTGACGAAGAAAGCATATTTTCAGACGGAACACAATAACCTACGCTCTCATAATCGATGTCTACGTGGTTGCAACGATTATTATCTCGTTCTTCACCGATTACCGACATGGAGGGTTGAAGTTTCGTGCTTGGCTACCATACGATTATTCGTCCCCGCTTTTGTTCACCGTGACCTACGTTCATCAAATGGTGGTTATGGTATTCGCTACGAACTTCATTGTTGCGTGCGATTCTCTGTTTAGTGGCCTGTTGGTTAACATTTATTGCCAGTTCGAGTTGCTGGAGTACCGTCTGAAAAATGTCGAAAAGTATTCGTATTATTCGCTGAAACTGTGCGCTCGACATCATCGGCGTATATACGAGTTGGTTATACATTTATTTTCTTGTACGGTAAAGTCTCGACATAAAGTAAAGTCTCCCGGGTGAATTTGTTAGCTCTGAGTTAACTTTGCAAAATAACTTTGAGGATAAAACGCAGAAAGCGATATTCTTTCATAAACTCTTAGTACGTCCCCATAGCCCGCAGCGCAGGAAAATATCGAGATTTTACCGTGGAAACGAAGCGTACAGTAATAATATCTTTCTCGAAAATCTTGCAGGTTCGCCACGGCGGTAAACGAAGTGTTTACAGCCATCATTTCCATACAGTTCATAGTGAACACTTTTGCGCTCTGCTTCAATCATTATAGATTGTCGCAACTAGAATTCGGCGCCAAGTTCGGCGAAGCGGCAGCATTCATGTTCTGTGTGCTCGCACAAATATTTTATTACTGTTGGTACGGCAATGAAGTGAAATTAAAGGTTCGTTATCATCGTTAGATAATGATGAATTTCGCAGAGTAAATTTTGTACGTTTCGTAGAGTCTCACAATCGTAGACGTGGCACTGGATAGCACCTTAATGTCGTTGGATAACAGTACGAAAAAGATGTTTCTGACTATCACGATGAGAGCAATGGAGCCCATTCAATTCACCAGCATCCACATAGTTTCTATGAACCTTGAATCTTTCATAACGGTCAGTAGAAAATTTCTTTCTTTATGATACACTAGTTCAGAAATTAACACCACAATATTCGAAATAAGAATGACGTTTGTTCATCAGAAAAATTCAGGTGTTCTTACAAATACACAAATCTCTTATAAATTAAACGTACAATATTTCCTTTTTGTTTTTGATAAGAAAAGACTTTGCAGTAACTTAACTCTATCTATCGTAGTTAGTTAAAACATCCTACTCGGCATACACCATGCTTCAACAGATGCACTAACGAAAGGTGGCACTACGACTGCATAAAACGGAAAAACGAAGCTTCGGAGAAACTTGCATAATGTATGACACAATACGCTGAAAATATTGTAATAAACCTTTCAGAGGAAATTAAGTTCTATCAGGGAAGAAAAATGCTTCATTTTCTATTGTCCCATCGCACTTCTGATAAATGAAATCATCATAACGACTCGAAATACACGGAACGATGTACTTCTATCCGCTGCAAATAATTACGGTATTATTTCCTGTTTGGTTGTTGTCTTCTTAATTGGATTCCATCGATTGCCGTATGTTCGAAACTTCGAAGATATACTGCGAGAAAACGCTGTAAGGGTAGAAACGTCAATTAACTATTAATGTCTGCCAATTTACCTACTTCATTAGTACTGTTTTCGATAAGTTATGTCCCTTCGGCCTGAGGGTGAAAAACTAGGGGGAAGCATCGCGATGGTCGATCAATTCAGTCGTTATTGGAACTCGGACGTTAACGTTTCTCTACAAATCTCGTTACGCGAATAATCTTGCATCCACTTTTACCATTGGCAAACTCATGTTCGAGAAGCTGTCGTGAAATAACGCGATCAAAATTCCCTTGCTTAAATTGGTATCAGTAAATTAAGTTAGGAAAGACGACGAGTTTGAAACTTTGCAATGAAAGCACTGCGATCCTCGCACAATTTACTAGTACTCTGTGGAATTTATTTGCCATCGTCATCCGACTCGTCTCCCTTGAAAAAGCTTTTCTACAAACTCTACGCAATAGTTCCGGTGATAATGATGTACAGCTTGTTCATCGCCCAAATGCTAGACATGGCGTTCCTCGTGACAAACCTGGACGAATTCTCGGATAATTTCGCTACGACGTCGCTGATACTGGTCGACTGCATAAAACACGGGGTTCTGTCGATGCGACGCGACAGTCTCATAGAGTTAACCGACATGTTGAGCAAGAATCTGTTTGCATCCGTCACGAAGCGGGAGATCAAAATTCGAGAGCGTTACGACAAACTGGTCGAGTAAGTTCTCTCAAGTTCTCTTAAAAACTTATGTCAAAGGAGTTACTTGTAATTTAGGCACCATTGAGAATACTATAAATTTTTGCAGATTGAACACGAACTTATACGCGATATTCTTTTTCGGGTGCGGAGTTATTGTTTTCATTACAACGACTATCATTGATTTCAAGAAGAGGAGGCTGGTTGTTCCAGTCTGGTTACCATACAACTACTCGTCCGCGACTCTGTATCTTCTTACCAGTGCTTACGAATGTGTAGCAGGGGAATATGCTATTATGACGTCCGCCGCCTGCGACTGCCTGTACATCGGTCTGCTGCTTCACATTTGCGGACAAATCAAAGTACTTGAACATCGGTTTCAGACGCTGACGGAGGAAGGATATTATTCGTTGAACCAGTGCGCCGCTCATCATTACAACATATACCAGTTTGTTTCCAATGTACTTTAGTGTGAGACGTACATGCCTAGCACTCTATCATCAAATTCTAAATCACCTGAATTTCTTTTATGACACAAAAGAATGAACATGAATTAACATTTCCTTAAATGAAAAAGAAGTTGAAAGTTTGCTTAAGTAAAGTATTGAACTAATAGAAATGCGGTAAAGATGGTAGACAGTAGTACAATAAAGTCGTAAAGTAAAAGAATAAATAGTGAAACGAAATGCAGTCACCGAATCGTTTCAGGTTCGCAAAAACGGTGAACGAGAAATTTACAGAAGTGATGTTCTTTCAATTTGCTGCGAGTACGTCGATAACGTGTTTGAATCTGTATCGAGTATTAAATTGTGAATCAATAGGAATGCTCATAGAAACACTGCTTTACTCGTCTGCCACATTCGCACAAATAGCATACTACTGTTGGTTCAGCAACGAGGTTAAATTAGAAGTCTGTACTAAAATCTAGCCATTGCTTTTGAACACATATCAAATGTCTTATAAATACATTTTTTTAGAGTATTAAATTTGCCGATGAAATATTCTACAGCGACTGGGTGTCATGGGATCAGGAAGCTAAGAAGGTGTTTCTGATAGTCATTACACGTTCGGCACGACCCATCGAATTTTCCTGCATGTCCATATTACCCATTAATCTGGAATCTTTCATGAAAGTCAGTATCATATATGTATTTTTAACAATGTTGATTTGCTTGGAAAATTCTTGAGTGCATTTGATAATAATACGAAAGTGAAATCTCTGTAGTTATAGTTTAATATTTATTGAAGTTTAGGCGCCTTTTTAGTTATATAATATAAATTGTTTTTTCTGTCATAATCAACGTCAATAGCATTTGATTTATAATTTCTTCTAAAAATAGTTGTAATGATGAAGTTACGAAGATCTACAGAATTTTCTTTTGTCCACAGCTGCTGAAGACTTCTTACTCGGCGTTCAACATAATGCAACAAGCTCGATAATCATACGTGACAACGATTTTTTGTGTGGTAACTGAAAATGATACTTGTGAAAATGTATGTTTGTACCAATGAATTCTATGAAAAACTTCAGAATCATATTATATAATAAGTAAGATACACCAGAACCGTGTTTGCAAGTTTGTTGGAGTCCCATACAAGAAAAACCAGCTTCGAGTAATCATGCGTTCCAGACATACAAACTCAAATTCAACAGATTTTAGACAATAGTCACTTTGGTGGATTACAGAAACTCTAGCACAAGTTTAATCGAACAGAACCTGTCGCCAGCCCAAACTCGATTAAAACAATACAGATTCACACGTAGTACATGCAATACATGTTCGCACGATTTTCTGTCAATTAGCAAGTACCCGAATTTCGTCAATTAAAGTTGAAATATTTTACTCGACGTATAATGTGTCGAATGTCAAAGAAACGTGTAATAAATATCAAATCCTTAGTGATAAGTCGACAGAAAAAATCTTACTGTTGTCCTGATAAAAATTGTCACAGACTGCTGATACGATGTTTACTGTTCAAACATCCTTTTTCGATTGACTCGTCGGAAGAACGTGCTCCGTTTCCTACCTGTTTCATTATTTACCCTCGAAAGAATTAACCCTTCCCTAAGAACTCTCAAATCCTTTGTAGATACGAATTTTCTTTCTCGGACAATATTACAGACAAGCAGAATAATGAATAGACATCGAAGAAAGCAACAGTGATGTCAAACGTTCTCCGGAATTATGATAATAACATAATATTTCCGTAAAGAAGGAGATTCTATAGGCGACTAATCTTTTCAAGGGGTAGACTTACTTATTGTAGGGGCTGCAAATAATATAGACATTCTATGGTCGTGCGTTATTCTATCCACATTGTCATCAGTCGTTGCTTTCAAAAGAGTACCTTGATTTTCAATAAAATTTTTGCTCGACACATCAAGAAATTCAAACCGAGAATAAAAATGTGCCCCAAAAATGTATGTGCACATAAAAAATTAAGTAATGATTGTATTTTTTGAGGATAGACATAATTAAAAATCGAGTGCGATGCAAGTGTTGCACCGGATATTTCATCTTTTAATAGTGGTCGGTTGCTGGCGACCTTCCTCGTGGACGTCACCTTTCAAGGCATTGTACACCTTGTATGCCGTGTTTCTGTTCGTAGTTTTGTACATTGCAACGTTTGTACAATTTCTGGACTTGATACTGAACGTGGAAACGCAGGACGAACTGAGCGATAACATTTATTTGATGCTGACGATGGTAGTCGCGTGTCAGAAAATGTACGGTTTGTTAACTAGCCACAAGAATATCGCTGCGTTGACCGATATACTGGAGGATGAACCTTTTCAGCCGGAAAACGGGAAGGAGGTCGGGATTCGGGAGGAATTTGACAAGAAAGCTCAGTGAGTTTTTCAAAATTAAGTGTTCGGACTTCGCTACGTAAACTGCAGCTTGTAATATTACGAAGTTATTTTGCAAAAGTTGAATGCAGTGGAGTCCCGTTATATTGCCACAATTCCATACTACTCACATACCCACTACTGATATACTCGTACTACTGATGTTCCGGAAAGAAATTATTTTACTAATTCAATACGTAGCATTGCTTGAAGAATATTTCGTCGTTAAATTTCTGAATGTGGTCATATAACGAGAACGTACTGCGAAACACAAGTGACTATTCTATCTATAATCATCTAAAGTGACCATTCTTTTGTGACCATTAAGTGACCATTCTGACTTTTTGCAGTCAGCACGCATTCTTTCACCTAGCAGTAACCGAAATGTCGGTACTATTCTACTCGTTCGCTGGTATTCTGAAAGTAGACGAGATAAAACTGCCATTCAGGATGTGGTTACCTTGCGATTATTTACCGTTGCCCCTGCACATCGTTATTTACATGCTACAAGTTGTATCTTTGGTAACTGGATCAATGGTGCACGTCGCGTGTGACACGCTAATCTGGGGTCTGTTGATTCACACTTGCTCGCAGCTCGAAATACTCGGATCTCGTCTGAAAGCTATCAAGCCAGATGATAATCAATCCGCCAGATTGGCGGCTCGTTACCATAATCGTGTGTACAGGTAAATCTTCGTAATTTCTAATAGTAACTATATTTTTTATCTACATTTTGAATCTATATTTTTTGTCGAATGAAAACAGGTTTGCCAAGATGATAAACGAAGAGTTTAAGATGATTATTTTTGTTCAGTTCAGTGTAAGTACGTTGGTGGTGTGCTTCACCCTTTACATGCTGGTAACAACGAAAAATTCGAATGATCAATTTTTTAAAGTGATTATGTACGCGTGTTCTATGTTGGTGCAAATATTCTTTTTCTGTTGGTACGGGAACGAAGTGAAACTGAAGGTTGGTTACGACAACTACGGTCTTTAAGCTGATTTTAAATCAAAGTACTTTAATTATTTGTTATAATGGAATGGTTAGAGCGTCCAAATTTCTGACACGATATTCGGAAGTGATTGGCCGTCACTCAGCAGGGAAACTAAAAGAATTCTTTTGGTGATCATGAGACGAGCCACTAGGTCCATTGAATTTACTAGTGTTCACATAGTGACTGTGAATCTCGACGCTTTTGTTAACGTGAGTACAATTTGGTAGTGAAACACTTTGGTGGAACAGTGAAGAGATCAACATGCAATGATAAAATATAACAGGACACTGTAAATAAAGCCAAATTCTTTTCTCAATATGTCACATTTCAAATTTACAATATTGAAAATCTAAAAATTCCAAAATTTATTTCAGTACTTAGCATTGTAGAAATTTAATAATTTAAAAATTTAGAAAAATAGAAAGAATGATTAACCCGTCACTATCACTGTGTCAGAAAATTTCCACAAACCCTAACAATAATTAATTGCAGTTGCTGAAAACTTCTTACTCGGCGTATAACGTGCTCCAAAGTGGCCAGGGATAGTAGGAGCAACCCTCAACGTAGACAATTTTTTCGATCGACCAAAAAGAATACACGTGCAGTGAAGTACAGTGAAATGTAGAATAGGAAGCAATAAATTGTTCGGAAGAAAAGTATATACTTGCCAGTGTTCATTATACACAATTTCTTCCATCTCTTTCGCACTTCGAGATTTCTTGAAATCTTATCTGGCAATCTCGAAATTCTGCAGACAGGAAGTATACAATTTTTATCAATCTGTGAAGGTAGTATCCTATCGTCGGTGCAACTTTTAGATTTATTTTCAGAGGAACTGTACGAGAAAAAAATTTTCTTCCACTGGAAAAATGTCACCTCACAGCTGAAATGCAACGAATTTGCTTGACAAACTTACACAAAGAAGATTTCGAAGAAGAGTATAAACACGGAGAAGATGAACATTCAAAGTGAATGAAGTAAGACAAGTAATCTCCAACTTGAATTTGAATTTTGTCTAACTTTAATTGGTAAAGTTAACTTGGTAAATTAATGTTATCGCTCAATATATTTTTATTTTCGATTTCCACTACGGTAGAAGATTTCTTTACGAGTATCTGTCCGAGTGACTCAGAAATTGTGACACAATGCCACGCACGACATTTCCTGACTAAGCAATGCCTTACGACTGAATCGCTAAAAGAGCATACACTCCCTACCTCTTTTATTATTCACTAGTTCAGAAATTAACACCACAATATTCGAAATAAAAATGAACGTATGTTCGTCAGAAAAATTCTGGCGTTCTTACAAATACACAAATCTCTTATAAATTAAACGTACAATATTTCCTTTTTGTTTTTGATAAGAAAAGACTTTGCAGTAACTTAACTCTATCTATCGTAGTTAGTTAAAACATCCTACTCGGCATACACCATGCTTCAACAGATGCACTAACGAAAGGTGGCACTACGACTGCATAAAACGGAAAAACGAAGCTTGGGAGAAACTTGCATAATGTATGGCACAATACGCTGAAAATATTGTAATAAACCTTTCAGAGAGAATTAAGTTCTATCAGGGAAGAAAAATGCTTCATTTTCTATTGTTCCATTGCACTTCTGATAAATGAAACCATCATTACGACTCGAAATACACGAAACGATGTACTTTTATCCGCTGCAAATAATTACGGTATTATTTCCTGTTTGGTTGTTGTCTTTCTAAATGGTCTCCATCGATTGCCGTATATTCGAGACTTCGAAGTCATAATGTGAGAAAAACGATATAAGGGTAGAAACGTCGATTAACTATTAATTTCTGCCAATTTACCTACTTCATTAGGACTGTTTTAGATAAGTTATGTCCCTTCGACCTGGGGGTGGAAAACTAGGGGGAAGCATCGCGATGGTCGATCAATTCAGTCGTTATTGGAACTCGGACGTTAACGTTTCTCTACAAATCTCGTTACGCGAATAACTTTGTATCCACTTGTACCATTGGCAAATTCATCTTCGAGAAGCTGTCGTGAAATAACGCGATCAAAATTCCGTTGCTTAAATTAGTATCAGTAAATTAAGTTAGGAAAGAAGACGAGTTTGAAACTTTGCAATGAAAGCACTGCGATCCTCGCACATTTTGCTCGTACTCTGTGGAATTTATTTGCCATCGTCGTCAGACGCGTCTCCTTTAAAAAAGCTTTTCTACAAGGTCTACGCGATAGTTCCGGTGATAATGATGTACAGCTTGTTCGTCGCCCAATCGCTGGACATAGCGTTCCACGTGACAAACCTGGACGAATTCTCGGATAATTTCGCTACGTCGTCGTTGTTACTGGTCGATTGCATAAAGCACGGAGTTCTGTCGATGCGACGCGAGAGTCTCATAGAGTTGACCGACATGTTGAGCAAGAATCTGTTTGCATCCGTTACGGAGCGGGAGATCAAAATTCGAGAGCGTTACGACAAACTGGTCGAGTAAGTTCTCTTAAAAACTTTAAGGATTGCTTGCAATTTAGACGGCATTGAGAATATGGTTCTATAAATTTTTGCAGATTGAACACGAACTTATACGGAGCATGCTTCTTCGGGTGCACAGTTATTGCTTTCCTTACAACGACTATCATTGATTTCAAGAAGAGGAGGCTGGTTGTTTCAGTCTGGTTACCATACAACTACTCGTCCGTGACTCTGTATCTTCTTACCACTAGTTACGAATGGATAGCAGGAGAATATGCTATTATGACGTCCGCTGCCTGCGACTGCCTGTACATCGGTCTACTCCTTCACATTTGCGGACAAATCAAAGTACTTGAACATCGGTTTCAGACGCTGACGGAGGAAGGATATTATTCGTTGAACCAGTGCGCCGCTCATCATTACAACATATACCAGTTTGTTTTCGATGTACTTTAGTATGACACGTAGATGCTTTAAAGCACTTTATCGTATAAACGCTTGCTTAAATGAAAAGGAAGTTAAAAGTTTGCTTAAGTAAATTAATGATCTAATAGCAAAGCGGTAGCATCGTAGAAAGTAGTACAATAAAATGATAAAGTAATGGAATAAATAGTAAAACGAAATGCAGTCACCGAATGGTTTCAGGTTCGCGAAAGCGGTGAACGAGATATTTACAGAAGTGATGTTCTTTCAATTTGCTGCGAGTACGTCGATAATGTGTTTGAATCTGTATCGAGTATTAAATTGTGAATCAGTAGGAAGGCTCATAGAAACACTGCTTTACTCGTCTGGCACATTCGCACAAATAGCATACTACTGTTGGTTCAGCAACGAGGTTAAATTGATGGTCTGTACTAAGATCTAGCCATTGTTTTCCAAACATTGAAATGTCTCAAAAAATACATTTTTTTAGAGTATTGAATTTGCCGATGAAATATTCTACAGCGACTGGGTGTCATGGGGCACCGAAGCTAAGAAGGTTTTTCTGATGGTTATTACACGTTCGGCACAACCCATAGAATTTTCCTGCATATCCATATTACCCATTAATCTGGAATCTTTCATGAACGTCAGTATCGAGTATATGTATTTTTAACAATGTTGAGTTGCTTGGAAAATTTTTGACTGCATTTGATAATAATGCGAAAGTGAAATCTTTGTAGTTGTAGTTCGGTATTTACTGAATTTTGAGCGCTTCTTTAGTTATGTAATATGATTTGTTTTTTATTTGCATTTCTGCCATAATCAAATCACGAATATCTACAGAATTTTCTTTTGTCCACAGCTGCTGAAGACTTCTTACTCGGCGTTCAACATAATGCAACAAGCTCGATAATCATAGGTGACAACGATTTTTTGTGTGGCAACTGCAAATGATACTTGTGCAATTGTATGTTTGTATCAACGTATTGTCGAAAAACGAATATTCTGCGAAAAACTTCACAATCATATTATGTAGTAAGTAAGACACACCAGAACCGTGTTTGCGAGTTTGTGGGCTCCCAGACAAAAAATTTCAGCTTCGAGTAATCATGCGTTCCATACAAACTGATGTTCATCGGATTTTAGACAATAGTCACTTTAGTGGATTACAGAAACTCTAGCACAAGTTTGATCGAATAGAACCTGTCGCCAGCCCAAACTTGATTAAAACAATATAGATTCACACGTAATACATGCAATACATGTTCGCACGATTTTCTGTCAATTAGTAAGTAACCGAATTTTATCTATTAAAGTTTGAAACATTTTATTCGACGTATAATGTGTCAAATGTCAAAGAAACGTGTAATAAATATCAAATCCTTAATGATAAGTCGACAGAAAGAATCTTACTGTTGTCCTGATAAAAACGGGTAGTAATGCAATCGTGCAATAATGCAGCGCGTGGTATTGCAACGCGTGCTAATGCAACGTGTAGTAATGCAACGGGTAGTAATGCAGCGCGTGGTAATACAATGTGTCGGAATATAATGCGTGATAATGCAACGTATAGCAATATAACGCGTGATAATGATATGCGTGACAATTGCCACTTAATAATTCCACCTGTGGTAGTTAAATGCGTGCCTAATTCACGCGTGGTAATTAGGTAAGCGTGGTAATCTACGTTTCGTAGAGTCTCACAATCGTAGACGGGGCACTGGATAGCACCTTAATGTCGTTGGATAACAGTACGAAAAAGATGTTTCTGACTATCACGATGAGAGCAATGGAGCCCATTCAATTCACCAGCATCCACATAGTTTCTATGAACCTTGAATCTTTCATAACGGTCAGTAGAAAATTTCTTTCTTTATGATACACTAGTTCAGAAATTAACACCACAATATTCGAAATAAGAATGACGTTTGTTCATCACAAAAATTCAGGTGTTCTTACAAATACACAAATCTCTTATAAATTAAACGTACAATATTTCCTTTTTGTTTTTGATAAAAAAAGACTTTGCAGTAACTTAACACTATCTATCGTAGTTAGTTAAAACATCCTACTCGGCATACACCATGCTTCAACAGATGCACTAACGAAAGGTGGCACTACGACTGCATAAAACGGAAAAACGAAGCTTCGGAGAAACTTGCATAATGTATGGCACAATACGCTGAAAATATTGTTATAAACCTTTCAGAGGAAATTAAGTTCTATCAGGGGTGAATAATGCTTCTTTCTCTATTGTCCACGTTGTCCATATTGTCCATATTATCCACATTGTCTTTTTCTATTTTCTCGAGTCGTAATGATGGTTTCATTACGACTCGAGACACACGAAACGATGTACTCTTATCCGCTGCAAATAATTACGGTATTATTTCCTGTTCAGTTATTGTTTTTTTAAGCGGACTCCATCGATCGTATGTTCGGAACATCGAAGTTATAATGTGAGAAAACGTTGCAAGGGTAGAAATTAACTATTAATGTTTGCCAATTTGCCTACTTCATTAGGACTGTTTTAGATAAGTTATGTCCCTTCGGCCTGGGGGTGAAAAACTAGGGGGAAGCATCGCGATGGTCGATCAATTCAGTCGTTATTGGAACACGGACGTTCACGTTTCTCTACAAATCTCGTTACGCGAATAACTTTGTATCCACTTGTACCATTGGCAAATTCATCTTCGAGAAGCTGTCGTGAAATAACGCGATCAAAATTCCGTTGCTTAAATTAGTATCAGTAAATTAAGTTAGGAAAGAAGACGAGTTTGAAAGTTTGTAATGAAAGCGCTAGAAAGAAGACGAGTTTGAAAGTTTGTAATGAAAGCGCTACGATCCTCGCACATTTTGCTCGTACTCTGTGGAATTTATTTGCCATCGTCATCCGACTCGTCTCCCTTGAAAAAGCTTTTCTACAAACTCTACGCAATAGTTCCGGTGATAATGATGTACAGCTTGTTCGTCGCCCAATCGCTGGACATAGCGTTCCACGTGACAAACCTGGACGAATTCTCGGATAATTTCGCTACGACGTCGCTGTTACTGGTCGACTGCATAAAACACGGGGTTCTGTCGATGCGACGCGATAGTCTCATAGAGTTAACCGACATGTTGAGCAAGAATCTGTTTGCATCCGTCACGAAGCGGGAGATCAAAATTCGAGAGCGTTACGACAAACTGGTCGAGTAAGTTCTCTCAAGTTCTCTTAAAAACTTATGTCAAAGGAGTTACTTGTAATTTAAGCACCATTGAGAATTCTATAAATTTTTGCAGATTGAACACGAACTTATACGCAATATGCTTTTTCGGGGGCGCAGTTTTTGCTTTCGTTACAACGACTATCATTGATTTCAAGAAGAGGAGGCTGATTGTTTCAGTCTGGTTACCATACAACTACTCGTCCGCGACTCTGTATCTTCTTACCAGTGCTTACGAATGGGTAGCAGGAGAATATGCTATTATGACGTCCGCTGCCTGCGACTGCCTGTACATCGGTCTGCTGCTTCACATTTGTGGACAAATCAAAGTACTTGAACATCGTTTTCAGACGCTGACGGAGGAGGGATATTATTCGTTGAACCAGTGCGCCGCTCATCATTACAACATATACCAGTTTGTTTTCGATGTACTTTAATATGACACGTAGATGCTTTAAAGCACTTTATCGTATAAACGTTTGCTTAAGTAAATTAATGATTTAATAGCAAAGCGGTAGTATCGTAGAAAGTAGTACAATAAAATGGTAAAATAATGGAATCAATAGTGAAACGAAGTACAGTCACAGAATCGTTTCAGGTTCGCGAAAATGGTGAACAAGAAATTTACAGAAGTGATGTTTTTTCAATTTGCTGCGAGTACGTCGATAATGTGTTTGAATCTGTATCGAATATTAAATTATGAATCAATAGGAATGCTCATAGAAACACTGATTTACTCGTTTGGCACATTCGCACAAATAGCATACTACTGTTGGTTCAGCAACGAGGTTAAATTAAAGGTCTGCACTAAGATCTAGCCATTGTTTTTCAAATATTGAAATGTCTCAAAAAATACATTTTTTAGAGTATTGAATTTGCCGATGAAATTTTCTACAGCGACTGGGTGTCATGGGGCAACGAAGCTAAGAAGGTTTTTCTGATGGTTCTTACACGTTCGGCACAACCCATCGAATTTTCCTGCATATCCATATTACCCATTAATCTGGAATCTTTCATGAAAGTCAGTATCGAGTATACGTATTTTTAACAATGTTAAATTGCTTGGAAAATTTTTGACTGCATTTAATAATAATACGAAAGTGAAATCTTTGTAGTTGTAGTTCGATATTTACTAAAGTTTGGGCGCTTTTTTAGTTATGTAATATGAGTTGTTTTTTATTTGCATTTCTGTCATAATCAAATTACGAAGATCTACAGAATTTTTCTTTGTCCACAGCTGCTGAAGACTTCTTACTCAGCGTTCAACATAATGCAACAATCTCGATAAACATACGTGACAACGATTTTTTGTGTGGCAACTGAAAATGATACTTGTGAAAATGTATGTTTGTATCAACGAATTTGTCGAAAAACGAATATTCTACGAAAAACTTCATAATCATATTATATAGTAAGTAAGACACGCCACAACCGTGTTTGCGAGTTTGTGGGGTCCCAGACAAAAAATTTCATCTTCGAGTAATCATGCGTTCCAGACAAACAAACTCATGTTCATCACATTTTAGACAATAGTCACTTTGGTAGATTACAGAAATTTTAGCACAAGTTTAATCGAATAGACACCAGCACAAACTCGATTAAAACAATACAGATTCACACGTAGTACATGCAATACATGCTCGCACGATTTTCTGTCAATTAGCAAGTAACCGAATTTTGTCTATTAAAGTTTGAAACATTTTACTTGACGTATAATGTGTCAAGCGTCAAAGAAACGTGTATTATTGTCCTTTACCAAGTGCGTGTATAAGGTATTAAATTGATACACTCGAAGGTTTGTACCAATTATACTTTCTTTCTTTGCTGATCATTACATCGTTTTTTTACGAACCACTACAAGCATACAATAATGCTGTCAGAGATATAGTCACATTTGACAACAGTTGCTCCATAGTTGCCTTAAATCCTTTTCCAAAAATTGTTGCACGTTTCATGCATTGCTTTGCACAGTGTTCAACCACATAGTATACGATAGAAACATTTCTCGTTACTAACTCCACAATTTTTGCTAAACGAATGTCCTCTCGAAAAACAAGGCTCCCTCGATCATTTTAGAAAACGTCCCCGTAAATGGTTCATTATTTAACCCTTTCGTCGTTCACGTTACAATGTACAGTTTCGTCTCCCTCTCCGATTAATATTTCAAAACAGCTTATTGTCCACGCTCAATTAGACCGTAACACTCGTCGTAGAAAGTCCACGAAGAAAATTACAGCTGGTATAAGCTACTGCATAAGCCAGCGAGGGAACATAAGTTAAAAGCAACGGTAGAAAAACTGCTCATGAAAAATGTAATATCATTTATTCATTTTTGCTAATTAGAATAATTGTATATTCAGTCTACGGAAGGGGTAGTTTCCGTAATAAACAGAGAGCACTGGAGACATTGTTCAGTTTGTATCTTTCAGTCAAGAATGTGACATTATGGGGACTTTCGTATCTTTGCAAGCTTCAGAAATATAACTGATACAAAATCTCTTACGAAAGAGGAAATTTTTAAACTTTTAGTCTCGGTAAAGTTTCTCCTTCGTTTTCGTAATAACCATCGATTAGTAGTTCGATGGAAACCCTTCGATGGACGCGTATCATGCTCAGTGTCAGCGGCAGTTGCTTGCAACCGAACGCTTACACCCCTCTTCAAAAGTTTTTTTATAACATTTACTCGAACATGGGGAAGATCATTATATACAGTTTCTTCATCCTCCAAGTACTAGATATATTCTTCAACGTTCAAAATCAGGACGAATTTACCGAGAATTTCACCCTCACGTCGATGGCGCTCAACGTGCTTCTGAAACGCCACATGCTGTCGACGCGGCGTACAAATATTTTAAGTTTAATCAAGAGACTCGATAAGAGTCATTTTCTACCGGTGACTAAGGAGGAGATGAAGATTCGGTCGAAGTTCGAAAATATAATCGAGTGAGTACTCTTTGAGTATATTTAAAATTGTTACTTAATACGTTCACTACCATACAAAAATTTTGAAGGTAGTTTTACCAAATGCTAGTTTCACTACCAAACAAATTTAATCTGTTATTTTTAACAAGTTAGAGTATCTTCATTGTCAAAGATTTTCCCACCTATTTATACATTTATATATAGATTGATGGCAGTAAACGAATTAACAAGTTCTCCAAACGAACACGAACGTATCATTCAATAAAATATCGCATAATGATAGATATTTTATAGATGTGCTACAAAGATGTACGCAACAGGACTCGCGTTCTTCGCCTTCTCGGTGCCATTCATATCGATTGTCATCGACTTCAAGAGCAGGAAGCTGTACGCCCGAATGTGGGTGCCTTACAACTACTCGTCCGCGAGTTTGTATCTGCTCACCAGCTCCTACGAAGTCGTAGCCTCGATATATGGCGTTTCCATAAGCATCGCCTGCGAATGCCTCTACACAGGACTTATACTTCACGTCTGCTGTCAATTCGAAATCCTGGAGCATCGGTTCAAGACTCTGAACGGAAAGGACACTCGTGTGGTGAATCAATGTGCTTCTCATCACAATTTGATATACAAGTGCGTTTCCTAAGAGAGACTGTTTCCCAAGAGTATCTAAGAGAGACTCTTTCCAAAGAGTATCTCTTCAAGAAAAGATACAGTGGTAACAATTGATGATCGTTTCAGATTTGCGGACGTAATTAACAACGAGTTCAAGACGGTCATGTCGTTCCAGTTTTTTAACAGCACTGCGATGATATGTCTTAGTATTTATCAGTTGACGTACGCGAAGAACTCTACGGCGTTCATGGAAATTATGATGTATTTGGTGTGCGTGTTCTTGCAGATACTGTTTTACTGTCTTTGTGGCAACATGGTCAAAATGAAGGTCTGTTATTGGATATCGAACGCAACGATCGTGAGCGTGATGCAATTTCTTTTTGCAGAGTATCGAATTTTCTGACAATGTATATAGCAGTGATTGGCCCTCGTGGAATAACAGCTCGAAGATGGTTCTGTTAATGGTTATCAGACGATCGAGGACACCTATTGAGTTTACCAGTATGCATGTCGTGTCCCTGAGTCTTGAGTCCTTCATGTCGGTTTGTATAAAATAAGCTATGAAATATAACTTGACACGTTACGTGTCAAAGTGAAAAGTCTACTCGTTAAGAATGTTAATAGTTAGCTTAAAAATTTTTATTTCGAATTGGCAGTATTAAGTGTACTTTAGCTATGGTCACAGTTCACCTCTTACTCTTTCTGCACTCAAGCAGAATCAGAAATTTATTTAAATGTTTATCTTGAGTGATGAAAGACATTTTTCGAAAGCTCGATTCGCGTGTGAAAATACTTGTAAGATATAAACTTTTACATTTTGCAGCTGCTGAAAACCTCGTACTCCGCGTACAACCTCATGAAAACTACCCGATAATTAAAAGACAATTGAAAGGACGATTTTCTGTCGCAATTGGAAATATCTATATGGATACTTTCGCAACTGCACGTTTTTAGTTGTCTCGGTTATTTATTAAATACATGAATGATACATTAACATGGTATATATGTCAATAAAATTCATGGTAACTTCGTGACGTTGTAGGATTCAGATATCCAGACCATAAAATTCTCCAAAGTAATAGAAATTAAAAAATTTGAATCTAATAGTACAATTATTGTCCTTTGAATTTAATTACCTTACAAGCTTCGATCCTTTTATTCTTGTTTCCAAATCTGTGTATCAATTGCAGATTTCATAGTCATCGTACTAGTTTATAATAAGTACACTACGAGTTCCACAGGAAAAAACTCACATGCTGCAGAGACAACTTATAGTAGTTCTTCCAAGTGGACGTCCACAGAGGAAATAAACGATTTCTTTTTAGGAAACATGGCAATAGAGAAACAAAGTATATACTGCACGCAATTATTAATTCTTTATGCAACCAGAGACAAGACTTGACTGATCATTCCGAGAAACCGTCTCCTGCACCCTTTTTCAATTTCTGATGACTGTAGCTACTGTGTCTCCTAGAAATACATAATGTATCGAAAAAGGGTGATTCTCAGTCGGTTGAAAACACTTGTAGCACTTATTCCCTGTCCCTCGTTAATATTTAATAGTTCAACATCCGCGTAATATTTTTTCTTGAAGGTAAATAGACATGATATAAGCTTCTCCATAAAATAGAAAAGAAAATATTAGTAATACAGGAGGGTTGAAATAGCATTCATGAAATGTGTAATGTCAGTTGCAATTTTCCGGCATCAATAATTGCGATGACAAAGTGTTCTGTCTACTCGAAGACCGTTTCTGAAATAAACGATAAGCTACGGAGATGTCGTCAGTTCGTAACTGTTACTGAAGAATGTGGATAGATTTTAGTTTTTGGATCTTCTGAAATTATTCGAGTAACCAGTGCACCAAAATTTCTGTGTTCGCGTCTCATGAAACGAAAAATAAAATCTTGTCAAACATCTTAACTTTTGCTCTTACAATTTTACATAAAGATTTTCCTCTTACAACTTTGTGGATTTACTCGAAAAAGCATGGAAACATTACGGTGGACTCGTGTCATGCTCAGCTTGAGTGGCTGTTGCTTAGAATTCTACATTTACACGCCTCTTCAGAGGTTTCTGTATCAAATTTACACGATTGTGGCGAAAATGCTTTTGTACAGTCTACTCATCCTTCAAACACTAGACATTGTACTCATCGTCGAAAATCGAGACGAATTTACGGAAAATATCGCTATTACGTCTATGGCGTTCAACGCCCTCATGAAGAACACTATGATGTCTACGCATCGTGCGAATATTTTAACTTTAATCAAAAGACTGGAGAGAAATTATTTTCTGCCTATCACTAAACAGGAGATGGAGATTCGATCGAGGTTCGACAGGATAATCGAGTAAGTTGTTTTCCATGAAATGCGATGATACGTTAATTATCACATATGAACATTTATAACATGTGGGTTTGAAATCTTGAGGGTTTGGAAACTTGAGGATATGACAATTTAAAACTTGGGGGTATAATTCAATTTTGGAAGTTTAAAGATACAAGCAAGTTCCAACTTCCAAATTTCTAACATGAGATCCTACCTCATATCACACATGCCACATGCACGACAATATCTATTATATTATTATTCCTCAGATCGACTTCGAAGGCATATACAGCACTACTCGGCTTCTTCGCGTTCTTAGTACTCTTCATGACAATAGTTATCGGCTTCAACAAAAGAAAATTGGTTTTCCGAATGTGGCTACCGTACAACTACTCGTCCGCACGTCTCTACATACTCACCAGCGTGTATGAAGTCATGGTCACCTCGTACGGTGTTTCGGTATCCATTGCTTGTGAATGCCTCTACACCGGACTGATACTTCACGTTTGCTGTCAGTTCGAGATCCTCGAACATCGTTTCAAAATGCTGAACACGAATCCTGTCTACACGGTGAACCAGTGTGCTTCTCATCATCATCTCATATACAAGTCCGTTTCTGTAAACATGGAAACAAAAATTTATGCTCGATAGTCACATTACGGATCTTTTCAGATACGCGGAAGCTGTTAACGAGGAGTTCAAGGGAATCGTGTCGTTCCAATTTTTCAGCAGCATGTCGATGATATGTCTGACTATCTACCAATTGCCGTATGCAGAGAACTCTGCGACGTTCTTGGCGACAGCGATGTTCTTGATGTGCGTGTTTTTGCAGATATTTTATTACTGTCTTTGCGGCAATGTAGTGAAAGCAAAGGTTCGTTATAGGAGAAGATAGACGTAATGAAACGTGTATTGTATGAAATAGTTTTGATTTGTTCTTTCGCAGAGTGCCGAATTTCCTGACGAAATTTTCAGCAGCGGCTGGCCATCGTGGAACGATAGCTCCAAGAAGGTTTTATTGATGGTCATCAGACGTTCGAAAACTCCCATCGAATTTACTAGTATGCATATTGTGACTCTGAGTCTGGAGTCATTCATGTCGGTTCGTACCAAACACTTTGCATAAATCATGTACAATAATTTACAAAGTAGAAATTCTAATAGTTAACAATAATAAATAAAAATTTTTGAAAAACTAGTTAGATGTATGACCGTGCAAAAATAGTTATTGAACTTAATGGACTTTTGTTTTGCAGCTGCTGAAAACTTCTTACTCCGCGTATAACCTCATGTCAAATACTCGGTAGTGAAACAACAATTAAAAGGACGTGTCTATCCCGCAATTGGAAATTTATGTCGATACTTCCGCAGCTCCACGTTCTTAATTATTTCATTCATATTATTTATCAAATGCATGATCACGAGCACAGTATCAATAAAGATGGAAACTTTTAAGTTTGTGATATTAACAATTTTGTTGCTTTAAAGTTACCCAGAAGAATCTAATGAACACACTACCACTGTGCTACAATTTATTATAATAGTCATAACTGAAAGTATAGTACTTGTCCAACACGTTCCACACGAAGCGACCCTCACATGATGTCGAGACAACTCCTCATTGCAGACTAACGATTCCTCTGGTACTGTTAAATGAACTTGTCCACAAAGAAAGCAAGAAATAAAACACAGAACGGTTTTCTCTTAGAAAACATAGTTAACGAGAACTAAAGTATGTACCGCAAGCAACGATTAACTTTTTATGAACCATTCTTCAGAGACAAATTTTAATGTAAGTCGTATATCGGCATATCGAGACGTTTTCCTGCACCCTGCTTTAGCTGATGTCTCTAGCTACCTTGTGTCGCAGTGCATAGTTAATTCAGTAAGGGTAAACGAAATGTCCTCACTCCCTTGAAAACACCTACATTGTAACATTCATTCCCTCTGTCACCTCAATATTTAATAGCTTAATATGCACGTAATATTTTCTCTCGTCATGTGTTGTAGACATGATATAAGCTTCTCCAGCAAAGAGAAGGGAAATATTAGTCAAAGGGTTGAGAAGATTAGCGCGAAGGGTTGAAATATCATTCGTAAAAATTGTAATGTCAGCTGCAACTTTCCGTCATCAATAATTGCGATCACATGTTTTACTTACTCGGAGACAGTTTCTGAAATAAACGAGAAGGGACGTCAGTTAGTGAAGTTTGTTAGTGAAGAATGTGATGTTACGGACTAAACTTTCATTTTTGGATCCTTGAGAATTATACCAGGAAGAAATACCTGACACTACAAAATTTTTGAGTATATCCTGATTTATTGAATCATTCACCCTGATAATTTGTCTCGTTTAATTTTTGTATCGATTCGTACGAAAAATACGCTGCATGGATACGCTACAGTGGACGCGTCTGATGCTCAGAATCACTGGTTGTTCTTTGGAACTGTACACTTACAGACCCCTTCACAGGTTTTTGTACACAATTTACGCGATTATGGGGAGAATGCTTTTATACAGTCTACTCGTCCTTCAAACACTAGACATTGTTCTCATCGTTGAAAATCGAGACGAATTCACGGAAAATATCGCTATAACATCCGTGGCGTTCAGCGACCTCGTGAAGAACATCATGCTGTCAACGCATCGGACAAATATGTTAGCTCTAATTGCCAGACTGGAGGAAAAGTATTTTGTGCCCGTTACCAAAGAAGAGATGGAAATTCGGTCGAGATTCGACAGGCTAATCGAGTAAGTCGTTTTGCAAATTTTTACATTTCATTAATTTGTGAACTTGGGGACTAAGAAATTGTTGGTCCTTTCGAATCTTAGCTCGGATAAATTTGAAAGTTTGGCAATTTGAAATTTCGAGCCTACGAAAATTATAGAACTTGAGAATTTGGATAAATTTGAGAGCTTGGTAATTTGGGGACCAAGAAGTTATTGGTCCTTTCGAATTTTAGAAGCTCGGATAAATTTGAGAGTTTGGCAATTTGAAATTTCGAGCCTACGAAAATTATAGAACTTGAGAATTTGGACAAATTTGAGAGCTTGGCAATTTGGGGACCGAGAAGTTGGGGTTATTGGTCCTTTCGAATCTTAGAAGCTCGGATAAATTTGAGAGTTTGGCAATTTGAAATTTCGAGCCTACGAAAATTATAGAACTTGAGAATTTGGACTTATGCGAATGACACTCATGACAAGTATGATAGTATTTGTTATTTTATTATTTCTTAGGACGACTTCAAAGACATATACAGCATTACTAGGGTTCTTCGCATTCTGGTTTCTTTTTGCAACAATAGTCATTGGTTTTGACAAAAGACTGTTGGTTTGTCGAATGTGGCTGCCTTACAACTACTCATCCACAAATTTGTATCTACTTACAAGTGCTTATGAAATCCTAGTTGTCGCGTATGGTGTTTCGGTAACAATTGCTTGCGAATCTCTCTACACTGGATTATTACTGCACGTTTGCTGCCAATTCGACATCCTCGAACATCGTTTCAGATCTCTGAACACGAATCCGATTTACACGGCGAACCAATGTGCTTCTCATCATCATCTTATATACAAGTTCGTCTCTGAGAACATGAAAATAAAAATTTATGTGCTAGTGTCACGTTGTGGTCTTTTCAGATACGCGGAAGCAGTTAATGAGGAATTCTGGGGAATTGTGTCGTTTCAATTTTGTAGCAGCGTGCTGATGGGATGTGTTAATATCTACCAATTGGCTTCTGCAAACAGTTTTAGAGCGTTCGTTGAGAATGCGACGTTCTTAATGTGCGTGTTTTTGCAAATATTTTATTATTGTCTTTATGGCGATGTGGTTAAAGCAAAGGTTCGTTATGGGAAAAATAATCATGACTACACGTGTATTGTATAACTTATTGAAATTACTGTTACTTTTTTTGCAGAGTACCGAATTTCCTGACAAACTATTCCATAGCGGATGGCTATCGTGGAACGGCAGCTCTAAGACGGTTCTCCTAATGGTTATGAGACGCTCGATAAAACCAATCGAATTTACCAGCATGCACGTAGTTTCTCTAAGTCTTGAGTCTTTTATGTCGGTTCGTATCAAGTCCATGTACCTTTTATAAATCATATACCATAATCTATGACATATATCACGGTATCTATCACAAATTCACAGCGAAATTAAGCTGTTAGCTCGAAGAAATTTTCTTAAATAACTTTCATTTCGAATCGAGATAAGAATATTTGGAAAGCTAATTATATGTAACCAGTTATAAGATTTAACCTTTATGTTCTGCAGCTGCTGAAAACCTCTTACTCCGCGTTTAACCTCATGTCAACTACTCGGTAATGAAATAATTAGAAGGACTATCCTGCAATTGGAAATTTGTACTTCGATACTTCCGCAGCTGCACGTTGTTAATTATCTCAATTGTATTACTTATTCAAGCATATGAACAATAAATTATCACGAGCACAGACGATAATGTAGAAACTTTTAATTTTGCGATGTAAGAATCCAGATCCAATATTATGTAGAATCATGAGAACCTCGAAATTCGAATCTAATTTTTCACAGTGCGAACTCGGACGGAACAGTCGCGTGATTATATTATAACCAAGAAGCGGTCAAATTAAAGCAACAAGCCTTAAGCGTGAGGATTTACGAATAACTTTGTTGCGTTGAAGTTACCTAAAAAAATCTAGAAACCTCCAACTTTCAATCCTTGTGTTCTCTTCTTCAAATCTGGAGCCCGTTCACCAATCACATAAGATTTAATAGCCATCGTTGTTGTACCAGTTATCTTTGTACACTACCACTGTGCTTCAGTCTTGTATAAATTGCAACTGAAGACACCGTACTTCGCGTTCTTCGCGAAACATCTTTCACATGATGCAAGGACGACTTCACATTATAGACTAACGATCCGCTCAATAACAGCAAGGTATAACAAAACGCACGGTCTGCAGGAAAACTGATTAACGAGAACTAAAGTATGTACTGCACGCAATAATTAACTTTTTATGAACCGGTATTCAAAGACAAATTTTAATGCAAGTCCTATCAGCATATCGAGAAACTTTTTCCAGCACCCTGTTTCAGCTGATGTCTCTAGATACCTTGCTTCGCAGTGCATAATAAATCAAGTAAGGGTAAACGAAGTGTCCTCACTCGGTTGAAAACACATTGTAGTATTTATTCCCTCTGTCACCTTAATATTTAATAGCTTAATATGCACGTAATATTTTCCTTTGACATGTGCTGTAGACATAATATCAGATACTCGGGCAAAGGGAAATGTTAGTCAAAGAGTTGGGAAGATTAGTCAGAAGAGTCGAAATATCGTTCGTAAAAATTGTAATATCAGTTGCAACTTTCCATCATTAATAACTGCGATCGTATGTCCTACATATTCGAGGATTATTTCTGAAATAAACGGGGAGGAACGTCCATATCAGTACGTAATTGTTAATGAAGAATGTGATGTCAGAGAGATAGAAAATTTCATTTCCGAACCCTGACTGTTACACGAGAAAGTAGTGCCTAATACCAGAGAATTTCCAGGGATATATCGTGGTAAAGATTCAATTTATATTTTTTAGTTCCTATCGATTTGCACGAAAAATACGCTACATGGATACCTTACAGTGGACGCGACTGATGCTTAAAGTCAGTGGTTGTTCTTTGGACTTGTACACTTACACACCTCTTCGCAGGTTTTTGTATACAATTTACGCGATTTTGGGAAAAATGCTTTTATATAGTCTATTCGTCCTTCAAACACTAGACATTGTTCTCGTCGTCGAAAATAGAGATGAATTTATGGAAAATATTGCTTATACAACCATATGGTTCAGTGTCCTCGTGAAGAACGCCATGATGTCACTGCATCGAGCGAATATATTAATCTTAATCAAAAGGCTGGACGAAAACTATTTTCTGCCTGTCACCAAACAAGAGATGGAAATTCGATCGAGATTCGACAAGCTAATCGAGTAAGTGGATTTGCAAGTTTCAACCTTTCATTAATTTGCGAACTTGAAAATTAAAAAATTTGGGCTATTGGTCATTACAAATTTTGAACCTCTACAGCTGTAGAACCTGATTGATGACACATATGACAAGAATGACATGGCAATATTTGTTCTTTCATTATTTCTCAGGTCGTCTTCAAAGGCATATACTGCAATACTGATGTCCTGTTTGTCCTGCATTATTATTACAGTATTTGTCATTGGTTTTACCAAAAGAATGTTGATTTGTCGAATATGGGTACCGTATAACTACTCGTCTACAAGTTTGTACATAGTTACGAGCATGTATGAAGGCATGGGTGCCTGTTATGGTATTTCGGCATCAAGTGCTTGCGAATGCCTCTACACCGGGCTATTACTGCACATTTGCTGCCAATTCGAGATCCTCGAACATCGTTTCAGATCTCTGAACTCGAATCCGATTTACACGGCGAACCATTGTGCTTCTCATCATCATCTCATATACAAGTACGTTTCAGTAAACATGGAAACAAAAATGTATGCTCAACAATCACATTACAGATCTTTTCAGATACGCAGAAGCTGTTAACGAGGAGTTCAGGGGAATCATGTCGTTTCAATTTTTCAGCAGTATGTCGATACTATGTCTTACCATTTACCATTTGGCTTATGCAGAAAATTCTGCAGCGTTCATGGCGACAGGGTTATACATGACGTGCGTGCTTTGCCAGATGTTTTATTACTGTTTTTACGGCGATATGGTTAAGACAAAGGTTCGTTGTCATAACTGAACATGTACCAACTTATTAAAATTACTACTAATTCTCTTTCTTCGCAGAGTATCGAATTTATTGACAAACTATTCCAAAGCGGGTGGGCATCGTGGAATGGCAGCTCCAAGATGGTTCTCCTAATGGTTATGCGACGTTCGAGAACACCTATCGAATTTACCAGCATGCACATTGTTACCTTAAATCTCGAGTCTTTTATGTCGGTTAGTATCACGTACATATACTTTTGATAAATGTGCTTAACCTATCAGAAACTTCTATTAATCACTCATCGAAATTTCCATAAATAATATTCATTTCGAATCGGGATGAAAATTATGTCTGATATGCTAGTTATGTGTAACACACCCTTTATTTGCACACCCAGATTTAAAGGACCTTTCTGTTCTGCAGCTGCTGAGAACGTCTTACTCCGCGTTTAACCTCATGTCGAGTACTCGATAACGACAGGTAGAAGGACGGTTCTATCCTGCAAGTAGAAATTAGTATTTCGATACTTCCGTAGCTGCACGTTGTTAATTATCTCAATTGTATTATCTATCGAGCATATGAATAATAAATTATCACGAGCACGGTATGCCGATAATGTGGAAACTTTTAATTTTGTGATGCGAGAGTCGGAATCCCAATAACAGAATCATCGAAACTTTGAAATCCTAGTTACCTTCAAGCTCCAATCCTTTTAGTGCTTTAATCCAACATTTTTTAATAAGTACACTAACACTATCTTCTAATTTCTTGTATAAATTGCAACAAAAAATACGGTACTTTATGTTCAACATATTCTACGCGAAACAACTCTCGCATGATGCATCGACGACTCCTCATTGTAGACTGACTCCCTCGGCCCACGATGACAACAAGGAATAACACGGTCTTTAGAAAATATGGTAAAAGAGAACTAAGCTACTGCACGCAATAATTAAGTTTTTATGAATCGGTATGCACAGACAAATCTTGATGTAAGACGCGAATAAGCATTTCGAGAAACGTCTTCCTTTTTTAATTTCTGATGACTCTAACTGCTGTGTCTTCTCGGAATGCATAATGTATCAAGAAAGGGTGAACGAAATGTCGTCGGTTGAAAACACATGTAGCATTTATTCCCTCCTTCTCGTTAATATTTCAAAGCTTCCTATCCGTGTAATATTTTTTATCTTGAAATGTCGCACTCAGAGGAGCAAGAAAGTATCGGTAAAAGGGTTGAAATATCATTTATGAAATGGGCAATGTCAGTTGCAACTTTCCGTCATCAATAATTACGATGATATGTGTCTACTGTTTCTGAAATAAACGGGAAGGAGCGGGATATCTTCAGTCTGTAACTGTTAGCGAAGAATGGGATACTACGGGATAGATTTTCACTTTTGTATCCTTGAAAATTGTACTGGGAGAACGTAATATCACAAAACTTCGGAGTTTACTTTTCATGAAACAAGAAATAAAATCTTGTCAATCTTAAAACATCAACGATCAACGGCTCCAAAATTGGTTTGGATAGAGATTGAATTTGTTTACACAATTTTTGTCGATTTACTGAAAAAATTCGCGCTGCATGGAAACCCTACGATGGACACGTATCATGCTTAGCGTCAGTGGTTGTTCTTTAGAATTGTCTATGTACACGCCTCTTCGGAGATTTTTGTATCAAATTTACGCGAGTGTGGTGCAACTCCTTTTGTACAGTCTACTCATCCTTCAGACACTAGACATTGTTCTCGTCGTTGAAAATCGGGACGAATTTACGGAGAATTTCGCTATTACGTCTATGGGCTTCAATCTCCTCATGAAGAAGGCCAGAATGTCAATGCACCGGACAAATTTTTTAACTTTGATCAAGAGACTGGAGGAGAATTATTTTGTGCCTGTTACTAAGGAGGAAATGGAAATTCGATCGAGGTTCGACAGGATGATCGAGTAAGTTGTAATACGCGAGCAAATGTTGATAAAATTATTATTTATAAGTCAATTGAAATTTGCAGCTGGTGCTCTTGCAAATTTCTGGACTTGTAATTTTGCAGACATGACAATATAAAAATTCCAGCTATTGAAATTTATAGATTTTGCAATTCTAAATTTTTGAGAATTTAAAAATGAATAGATTGGTTATTTTATTATTTCGCAGGTCAACTACAAAGGCATACACAACATTACTCGTGTTCTTCGCCTTCTGGGTGCTTTTCGCATCAATTGTTATAAGTTTCGACAATAGAAAGTTGGTTTTCCGAATATGGCTACCGTACAACTACTCATCCGCAAGTGTGTACATACTCACCAGCGTGTATGAAGTCATGGTCACCTACTATGGAGTTTCGGTATCCATTGCTTGCGAGTGCCTCTACACCGGACTGATACTTCACGTTTGCTGTCAATTCGAGATCCTCGAACATATTTTGCAATTCTAAATTTTTGAGAATTTAAAAATGAATAGATTGGTTATTTTATTATTTCGCAGGTCAACTACAAAGGCATACACAACATTACTCGTGTTCTTCGCCTTCTGGGTGCTTTTCGCATCAATTGTTATAAGTTTCGACAATAGAAAGTTGGTTTTCCGAATATGGCTACCGTACAACTACTCATCCGCAAGTGTGTACATACTCACCAGCGTGTATGAAGTCATGGTCACCTCGTACGGTGTTTCGGTATCCATTGCTTGTGAATGCCTCTACACCGGACTGATACTTCACGTTTGCTGTCAGTTCGAGATCCTCGAACACCGTTTCAAAATGCTGAACACGAATCCTGTCTACACGGTGAACCAGTGTGCTTCTCATCATCATCTCATATACAAGTCCGTTTCTGTAAACATGGAAACAAAAATTTATGCTCGATAGTCACATTACGGATCTTTTCAGATACGCGGAAGCTGTTAACGAGGAGTTCAAAGGGATCGTGTCGTTCCAATTTTTCAGCAGCATGTCGATGATATGTCTGACTATCTACCAATTGACGTATGCAGAGAACTCTGCGTCGTTCGTGGCGACAGGGATGTACTTGATGTGCGTGTTTTCGCAGATATTTTATTACTGCCTTTGCGGCAATGTAGTCAAAGTGAAGGTTCGTTATCGGGGAAGATAGACGTAATGAAACGTGTATTGTATGAAATAGTTTTGATTTGTTCTTTCGCAGAGTGCCGAATTTCCTGACGAAATTTTCAGCAGCGGCTGGCCATCGTGGAACGATAGCTCCAAGAAGGTTTTATTGATGGTCATCAGACGTTCGAGAACACCCATCGAATTTACTAGTATGCACATGGTGTCTCTGAGTCTAGAGTCTTTTATGGCGGTTAGTAACAAGGATTTCAGATCAAGTCAATTGTAAGACTGATTACTTATAGATTAGATACTATCATAATAATCGTAATAATGATCGTTTGACTACGAAGTTATGTTCTTAAACTTAAGATAAACTATAAGTGGCACAACTATACAAAGGACGATTAAATACAAATTCAAAGAAATTTTCACGCAGTTAATCGAATACATCATTCTCTCATAAAAATTTATATGAATAAGTAATGAGAATATGACTATTGTTACGCTTTGCAGTTGATGAAGACCTCTTACTCCGCGTTTAACCTCATGAAAACAACTCTATAAATAAAAAACAGGAGTACGTACCTGCGATTAGAAACATACTTTGATACTTCCGCCACGAGCTTTTAGCGAAGAATTTTGTGAAGAAACACTGATTAGAATATCCCGAAAATGTTATAAGCACACTACATGTCAATAAAGTTCACGTCAATTTTTAATTCCGTAACGCTGATTCAGACATCTAGTTCCAATAGCACACAAGAAATAATTGTTATTATTCTCCCAAAACTGTGACACATTCGGTGAACCGGTGATGGACCACCATTAACGTTATCACTATTTCATAATATGACATGTTCAAATTATTAGACATGGCACAGAAGCGGTGTCTCGTTGCCAACTGCCCTCTCAGTTGAGCTAAACGCACATGTCAAAGTCCAGAGAGAGGGAGGAAATAATCCCAAAGCACGTGGTAGACAAAATCTGAATTATATGTATAAGTCTCGTTACTATCAATACCCGACAGAGCTATTTTTACGGAACTTCCATGCAACTTCCATGCAAGATTTCATTTAAGATCACATGTAGTTGGTGAGATGAACATTGTGGTTGGTAAAGTCTATGTCCAATTTGTTCAGATAGTGAGACATTTTTTTCACTGTGGTTTTCCTCGTTTTCCCTAACATGACCGTGAAGACGAAAGAAACCCTCAGATGCTGTCAATCCTTTATGAAAGTATTTTCAAGAACAACTTTCACCACATACGAATATATATTTCATGCAACCGTTCTTCTCCCCTTTTCATTTTTCATGAACGGTACGACTATGTCTCTAACAGTAACAATGTACAATCTCACCCTCTCCGGACGTTAATTTTTAAACAGAAGTTATTATCCGTCTAATAAGAATGCAATATTTTTTCTTGCGACGTCGCGAAGACAAGTGGGTGGCATAAGCTCCCATAGAAAATAGTAAGAAAATATTGGCGAAGCAAAGGGGTTGGAATATCTTTTATGAAAAATTTAATGTCAGTTGCTATTTTCCGTTATCGATAATTACTGTGGCCTTGTACTTGAGAAATGTTTCGAAATAGGAGTCAGTTTGCGATCGTCGATGAAATGTGTCGCATCACGAGGATATTTTACCATCTGCAGACTGTAAAAAAGTGACTAAGAGCTTTTCGTAGCATCGACGAATCTGAAATATCAAATTAACAGAGATTTCTTAAGTTTCGAACTACTCTTTTGCTAAACAATTCGCGCTGAATGGAAACGTTACAATGGACCCAAACCATGTTCACCATCGGCGGTAATTGTCTGCAACCGTTCGCTTACACCCCTTTCAAGTGGTTCATCTATAATGTCTATATAACTGTGGGAAAGATACTTTTGTACGCCCTATTTCTCGCCCACATCCTAGACATCGTCTTCACCGTCGAGAACCAGGATGAGTTCACCGAGAATTTCGCTATTTCGTCGACGATATTCATGATTTTTTTGAAATACTTCGTACTGTCAGCGCGTCGACTTAGCGTTGTAGATTTAATCGACAGGCTGAACAGAAATCTCTTTCTGCCCGCGAACAAGCAGGAGATGGAAATTCGAGCTAGATTCAACAGAATAATCGAGTGAGTACTTTTCTCTAATATACCATCCTCTTCGTGAATTTATAAAAAAATTGTTATAAAAAATAAATGTTAAAAAAATTGATAGTGCATGCGAAAGTTCTTGCAGATTAAAGTCTGTTATGCAAAATTGAAAGATAACGAAGTAACATTACTTATGTGTTCAGATAGACAACCATTGTACTACACATTGGTGGTAACACACGGAATAAAATACAAGAGAATTAACGTTATTTTATAATTTCTTTCAGACTGACAACGAAAGCATATACACTAACAATCGCGGTATTCGCCAGCGGAATGTTCTTCGCTACGATCGTCGTCGACTATAAAGGAAGGAAGCTAGTTGGGAGACTGTGGCTGCCGTACGACTACTCGTCTACCGCTTTGTATCTGATTACCAGCGTTTGTGAATTTCTAGCAGCTATATTTGGTGTCTCCATAACCGTTGCCTGCGAATGCCTATACGCAGGATTGACGCTTCACGTTTGCTGTCAGTTCGAAATCCTCGAACACCGTTTTAAAACCCTCGATGGGAAAGACATTTGTGCCGTGAATCGATGTGCATCTCATCACTATCACATATACGAGTTTGTTTCTTTTTATTTTTTTTCTCATTCTATCGCATCAACAATTCCATCCTGACAAATGTCATATTTTTCATTTAAGAATTACAATGTTTAAATACAGAATTTTGTACAGTTTCCAGAATTGTTTAACCTTGTTCGTGTGATAGTTGTTTGGTCGTTTCAGATACGCGGCGATGATTAACAGCGAATTTAAGGAGATCGTGTCGTGCCAATTTTTCACCAGCATGTCTGTGCTGTGTCTGAATCTTTATCGGATGCTAGTTGCAGAGAACTTTTCGGATTGCATGGAAGCAGCGATGTACACGATTTGCGTGCTTTCGCAGATATTTTATTATTGCTTCCATGGCAACGTGGTTAAAGTAAAGGTTTGTTATCGAATTTTTTCGTTGAAAATATAGGGTGTCTCACAAATTGTGTAGCTCCTGGAAAGGGGTGGTAGAGGACGCGATTCTAAGCAAGATTTCCCTTTGCAAAAATGGGGTTTGAAGCTTCGTTTTTGAGTTATTAAAGAAAGACACGGACCAATCAGAGCGCGAGGATTCGGCGCCAATCATGGCGCGCAGTCGCGAGAGCGACGCCTTCGAGCATAATGGCCGACTGGGCGTAATCCTCGCGCTCTGATTGGTTCGTGTTTTTGCTTAATAATTCAAAAACGAAGCGTCACACCCCATTTTTGCAAAGGAAAATCTTATTCAGAATTACGTCCTCTACCACCCCTTTCCGGGAGTTACACGAGTTGTGAGACACCCTGTATACTTCGATGAAGTTTTCTTTTTTACTCGTTGCAGAGTACTGATTTTCCTGACGAAATATTCGGCAGTGACTGGCCATCTTGGAACGACAACTCCAAGAAAGTTCTCTTAATGGTTATTAGACGTTCGATGACACCAATCGAATTTACCAGCATGCACGTCGTGACGTTAAGTCTTGAGTCGTTCATGTCGGTTCGTACAAAATATATCTTCATAAATCATGTACATTAATCTGCATTTATTATAAAAATCATTTTTGGAAAGTTGGCTATGTAATATGTCTGATTAAGAATGGGTTCAAAGGATTTTTATGTTCTGCAGCTGCTGAAAACCTCTTACTCCGCGTATAACCTCATGACAAATAGTCGGTAATGATATAATAATTGAAAGGAGGAATCTATTCTATAATTGGAAATTTGTACTTCGATACTTCCGCCGCTGCACATTGTTAATTATTTCAATTGTATTATTTATCAAGAATACGAATAATAAATTATCACGAGCACTGTATGTAAATAATGTGAAAACTTTCAATTTTACGATGTTGTAAGATTGAGAATTCAGATCCAATATTGTGCAGAATCATGAAAACCTTGAAATTCTAGTTACCTTCAAGCTTCAATCCTTGTATTTTTCTTTCCAAATCTATTGCTGTACCATTTATTTTTGTAATAAGTACACTACCACTGTGCTTCAATTTCTTCTATAAATTGTAACCTAAAAGACTGTACTGTATGTTCCACGCGAAAAAATAACTCTCGTGATGTAGCGACGACTCATTGTAGACTAACGACTCCGTCCTACAATGACAACGAATACGGTCTTCAGAAAACAAGGTAAACGAGAGTTAAAGTATCTACAGCACGCAATAACTAATTTTTTATGAATCGATATTCACAGACAAATGTTAATGTAAGACGTAAATATTCGACAAACATTTTCCTGCACCCTTTCGTATTACTGCTGTGTCTTCTGAGAATGCATAATGTATGAAGAAAGGGAGATCGAAATGTGGTCAGTCGTTTGAAAACACTTGATTGTACCATTTATTCCCCCTCTCCTTTCAATATTTTAAAGCTTCATCTCTTTGTAATCTTTTCGTCTTGTAATGTCGCTTTTAGAGAAGAGCAAGAGAATATGGGTAAAATGGAAGGGTTGAAATTCATGAAAAGTGCAGTGTCAGTTGCTACTTTCCGTTATCCATAATTACTGTGACGTTTCTTTGAGAGCTCTGTTTAGGAAATAGTAGATGTCTTCAGTTTGTGATCGTTGATGAAATGTGTCGCATCACGAGGATGTGTTTGTATCACCGTATCTCTGTGAAGTGTACAGCAAAAGAATAACTGATTCAAGCTTTTCATAGTATCTGTAGTCGACATCTTATCAAATCTCAAATTCATAGAGAATTTGTAAAATTTCTAATTATTACGCTGAAGCTCTCTACTATTCAATACTCATTGTTCGCAATTCCTGAATGGAAACGTTACAATGGACCCAAATCATGTTCACCATCTGTGGCAATTGTCTTCGACCGCTCACATGTACCCCTTTTAAGCGGTTTATCTACAACATCTACATAATCGTGGGAAAAATACTTTTATGCACCCTAGTCACCGCCCAAGTCCTAGATATTGTCTTGAACGTCGAGAACCAGGACGAATTTACAGAGAATTTCGCTATTTCGTCTACGATGATTATGATTACTTTCAAATACATTGTACTGTCAGTACGTCGTGTTAACATTGCAGATTTAATCGAAAAACTGAATAGAAATCTATTTATGCCAGCAAACACAGAAGAGATGGAAATTCGAATAAAATTCAATAGAATAATCGAGTAAGTCCTCCAAGATCCATAAAACCATTCTTAATATTAATTTTATTTTATCTTTCAGTTTGACAACGAAAGCATATACAATAATAATTGCAATTTTCGCTACCGGTGTGTTCGTCATGACATTCATCGTCGATTACAAAGGAAGGAAACTAGTGGGTAGATTGTGGCTACCTTACGACTACACGTCTACTACTCTGTATGTACTTACTAGCGTTTGCGAATTTCTGGCAACTGCGTTTGGTGTCTCTGTAAATATTGCCTGCGAATGTCTGTATGCTGGATTGACGCTTCACATTTGTTGTCAGTTCGAAATCCTCGAGCATCGTTTTAAAACCCTCGATGGGAAAGACATTTGTGCCGTGAACCGATGTGCATCTCATCACCATCACATATACGAGTTCGTCTCTTTTCATACCTTTTTCAAAATTTCTGCACTTTCTCTATACTTTCCAGAGTTACCGATAATATACCAACAACATAGTTTTTCCTGTGTGATCGTTTCAGGTATGCAAAGATGATCAACAACGAATTCAAGAAGATCGTGTCGTGCCAATTCTTCATGAGCATGTCTGTGCTATGTCTAAACCTCTTTCGGATGTTAATCGCACAGAACTTTTTAGATTTCGTGGAAGTAGTGATGTACATGGTTTGCATGTTCTCGCAGATATTTTATTATTGTTTCCACGGCAATTTGGTTAAAGCAAAGGTCTGTTATCGAAACCATATTTTCACATCGAAAATATACAGATTTTCAAACTCAGCTCAGTTTTCTTCTTTGTTTTTTTGCAGAGTATAGATTTTTCTGATGAAATATTCGGAAGTGACTGGCCATCTTGGAACGACAACTCCAAAAAAGTTCTGCTAATGGTTATCAGACGTTCGAAGAGACCCATTGAATTTACTAGCATGCACGTCGTGACGTTAAGTCTTGAGTCATTCATGTCGGTTCGTGCGAAATATATGTACTTTTCATAAATAATATACAATAATCTACATAAAATATGAATGATACCATTCTACGCTTAGGTCCATTTTTGTAGACACTATAATCGACCACAATGTAACAGAAAGTTCTTTTAACCATAAAGTCAAAGAAATTTCCTTAAATATCGTTCGTTTCTAATCGAGATAAAAATCATTTTTGGATAGCTAATTAAATGCAACCATTTAAGAATAGTTCTAAGATTTAAAACTATTTATGTTCTGCAGCTGCTGAAAACCTCTTACTCCGCATATAACCTCATGACAAGTACTCGGTAATGAAAAATTTAAAAGGACAATTGCGAATGGAAATTTAGACTTCGATACTTCCGCTGCTGCACGGTGTTGATCAGATAATTGTATTATCTATCAAACATATGAATAAAGAGTCACTATTACAGTACGTCAATAATGTTTATGGAAAGTTTTAACTTTGTGGTGCTTTCAGATATGGAGTCCATTTTGTAGAATGATGGAAACCTTGATATTGTGGTTATCTTCAAGCTTTAATCCTTTTGGACCCTTTTGCAAATCTGTAGCTCGTTCGTTGCATTAATCGTAGATTTCATAGTCCTCGTTGCGATACCATTTATTTTTACAACAAATACACTACCACTGTGCTTTAATTTTTTCTATAAATTGCAACCAAAAATACCGTACTTTATATTCAAGATGTTCTACGCGGAACAACTCGACATGATGCAGAGACAACTTTTCATTGTAGACTAACGACTCCCACAATGACAACAAGGAATAACACGGTCTTTAGAAAACCTGACGAGAACTAAAGTATCTAAAGAACTAAAGTATCTACTGCACGCAATTATTAATTTTTTATGAATCGACATTCGCAGACAAATATTAATGTAAGTCGAGAATAAGCAACTCGACGAACATTGTCCTGAACCCTTTTGTATTTCTGATGACTCTTACTGCGGTGACTTCTGAGAATGCATAATGCATCAAGAAAGGGAGATCGAAATGTAGTCAGTCGTTTGAAAACACTTGATTGTACCATTTATTCCCTCTCTCCCGTTAATATTTGAAAGCCATATTTCTTTGCAATATTTTTATCTTGAAATGTCGTTGAGAGGAGAGCAAGAGAATATCGGTAAAACGGAAGGGTTGAAATTCATGAAAAGTGCAGCGTCAGTTGGTATTTTCCGTTATCCATAATTACTGTGACCATGCGCCTTTGTACTTGAGAAATCTTTCGAAAATAGGAGTCAGTTTGTTATCGTCGATGAAATGTGTCGCATCACGAGGATATGTTTATACATGTGCGTCTCTGCAGATTCTACGGCAAAGTAACTGATTCTTTCGTAACACCCCAAGTCAAAATTTCGTCGAATCTCGAAATTAATAGAGGCTTCTCTTTGCAACTCTTCCTCTGCAGATCTGTTTAATAAATATAATTTAGTAGTCATTTGCTAAACAATTCGCTCTGAATGGAAACGTTACGATGGACCCAAATCATGTTCGCCGTCGGTGGTATTTGTTTGCGGCCGTTCACTTCCACCCCCTTTAAGTGGTTCATCTACAACGTCTATATAATCATTGGAAAAATACTTTTATGCGCGCTACTTATCGCCCAAATCCTAGACATTGTCTTCAACGTCGAGAACCAGGACGAATTTTCAGAGAACTTTGCTATTTCGTCTACGGTGTTTATGATCACTTTGAAATACATTGTGCTGTCGGCACGACGTGTTAACATTTTATATTTAATCGAGAAGCTGAACAGAAATCTGTTTATGCCTGCGAACAAGCAGGAGATGGATATTCGAATGAAGTTCAACAGAATAATCGAGTAAGTCCTCTAAGATACACAAAACCATCCTTAACACTTATTAATTTTATTTTACTATTCCTTTCAGATTGACAACGAAAGCATACACAGTAGTAATCGCAATCTTTGCCAGTGGAATGTTCCTCATAACAATTGTCGTTGATTTCAAAGGAAGAAAGCTAGTCGGTAGAGTGTGGCTACCTTACGACTACTCGTCTACTACTTTATATCTGATCACTAGCATCTCTCAATTTCTAGCAGCTATATTTGGTGTTTCCATAAATATTGCCTGCGAATGCCTATACGCAGGATTGACGCTTCACGTTTGCTGTCAGTTCGAAATCCTCGAACACCGTTTTAAAACCCTCGATGGGAAAGACATTTGTGCCGTGAACCGATGTGCATCTCATCACCATCACATATACGAGTTTGTCTCTTTCCTCGACAAAATATTCTGCACGAATTTCCATGTACTTTTCAAAGGTCTTTAACCGATAGTTACCTTCGGTCTTTTCAGGTATGCGACGATGATCAACAACGAATTTAAGAAGATCATGTCGTGTCAATTTTTCATGAGCATATCTGTGTTATGTCTGAACCTCTTTCGGATGTTAATCGCACAGAACTTTTCGGATTTCGTGGAAGCAGTGATGTACATGGTTTGCATGTTCTCGCAGATATTCTATTATTGCTTCCACGGCAATATGGTTAAAACAAAGGTATCGAAAACAAATTCACATCGAAACCAAATTTTTGCATCGAAAACATGTTTTCACGTGTTCAATTTTGTTTGTTGCAGAGTATTGATTTTTCAGACGAAATATTCGGCAGTGATTGGCCATCTTGGAACGACAACTCCAAGAAAGTTCTATTAATGGTGATCAGACGTTCGAAAACACCCATCGAATTTACTAGCATGCACGTCGTGTCCCTAAATCTTGAATCTTTCATGTCGGTCAGTAACAACCATGTCTACCTATCGATATGGACTATCTGTAGTATTTGCTTCGAATCAGAATAAAAACCAGTTTTAGAAAGATCGGTGTATCATTCTGAAATAAGAAACGCTATAAGATTTAAGCTATCGTTACGTTTTGCAGTTGGTAAAAACCTCTTACTCTGCGTTCAACCTCATGACGAGTCGGTAAATGACTAAGAGAGATCCTGGGACTAGAAACGTAGTTTTTGATACTTCCTAAATGTGTACAGAAGAAGGATGCAAAGAGGAACGCTACATAGAAACATATAACACGTAAAATACTTTGAAACCAAGTATGTCGTTGTTGATGAGTAGCTATTATGAAAATACAACCCACTTATCAGTCAATCTCTTGTACCATTTTTTGTTACTCTCATATTAATGGAAATTTGATAAAGTGTGTAACAGTATTATTTTTGCAAACAGTGTTGCTCCATTGGTCCTTTACACGAAATCTAAACAAAGTTTCTGGACCTTTTCCAACTCATATTTAGTAATACAGAGCTCGAATCATACGAATTCCAAGTTGTAATATTTCATTTCTTATTAGAGACCTGCAATTTTATCCCAATTACGACTGTAGGGTCACATGAGAGAATTAATTTTTCTCAGATCAAGAAATATAACTTTTCCTAAACTGCAACGTGTTTTACTTACGAATGTATCGAATATTTTATTCCAAAAGTCAAGCGTTGCACCACAAACCTTCTCTCAACACTGTCAACCGGTAGACTGAACGAACTTCATGTTCCAAGGTTTATTATTTATTCACTATTAGTAGGGGAAAGTAATTGTTGAGTTATTACTTTGGTTTCGATACAAAGTCCTTCAAAAGCTTTCGTCGGAATCAAGGGGAAGATATAATTGGTTACAGGTAATACAATTGACAGTCATTTGCTACTCTTTATTTCATTCTCCCCGAACGAAACTTAGGGAAAGCGTAATTATGGTAACTATATCCAGGAAACAATGCGATGTAAGAGAGTAATAATGTCACAAAAAATCTAAAGGGTTTCAGAGAAGGTCGAATAAAATTTCTTCGTGTTCACTATTCTTTCGACCATACGCAACGTGTAACTTCTCTGTATAAACAAAAGGTTCTCTTCAACATAGAAGATCGAGGTTTTAGTTTAAAAAGGATGCACAAGTTTCCTTTGTCTTTTACTCTGCTCACTTGTTGCGGTTACTGGAGGCCAACAAAATGGCCAACTAACTCGTTCAAATATTGGCTCTACAACATTTACTCGGTCTTCATGATCGGATTTATCTGGTTCTTCGCGTTTTACGCCATGGTAGACTCGGTGACTTCTAAGGACCTAACGACGATGTCTGACAAACTGTCTGTGGGTTTGTCGGTGTTGCGCGTCTGCGTCCAGGTGCCCATTTTGTTCATCCAACGCAACAAGATCATATCGGTGGTGCACATTCTGCTGGAGGACGACTGTATTCCACGGGACGAGGAGGAAGTTATCATAAAACGGAAATGCGACAGCTTAGCGAGGTTTTATTTTGAACACTCTTACTAAATTTTGACGATACCCTTAGTGATAAGATCATCTTCTTCTTAATATAAATTGGACATATTCAAGAACAATTTCATTAAATTTTATGCACCGAGAGTACAACGAGTTAACTCTTAAGGGTTCATTCATACACCTCTCCCTTCGTGTATAAATGAACCTCAACCCTCAATAACAGAATCTTAATTCTAGCCTAGATTCTAGAACCCTTTTCTAGCTCCTTATATATCAATAATCCAATGATATATCAATCCAACCTTTCCCAAATATTTTACCAACAGAATGATAAAAAGTTTTCCACAGAAACGTGACGATATTCTGCGAGCTCCTGAACGAATCGTCCGCGTTTATCTCGACGGTGATGCGATATAACCATTTGATAAGGACAAGAACGTTTCCCAGATTCAGCTGGATGCCGTTCAGTTTAGATCGAATAGAACTGTACATGGTATCTCTGTTGCATCAAACCTGTGGCCTTTTTATTTGCGCGAACACCAGTGTGGCTATCGAAACGATGGTCGCTGGATTGCTGATGCAGGCTAGAGGTCAGTTCGAGATGTTTTGTCATCGAGCTCGAAACGTGCCAGTCGCGTTGATGGCAATTGAAAGAGATGACAATTCGGGGAAGAATTTGGGGAGAAAATGGCGGAAAATGCGGAAAGACTTGGTCAGATATCATCTGCATATAATCAAGTACACGAAAATATCTTGTTTTTGTAATCAGAGAACTTAACACCTTATCTTTCGAATTGGAGATTTTTCCAGGTGTTGTTTTAATAAACCTGGGAAATATTTTTTGGTACAGAAACTGGCATTTAAGTATGAACTATGACTAAGGTGTCAAGTTATCTCAGACCCATCATCCATTATAGAACTGACTCTTCCGATTTAATTCCAGCTTTGTAAACAGCATCAACTCCGCCTTTCAGTACATAATCGCAATCCAATTTCTTATCAGTTCGTCGGTACTGTGCCTCAGCGTTTATCAGATGTCTCTGTTAGACCTATTCACCGTGGATATGCTCTTCAGCTACAGCTATGTGGGCAGTATGTTCACGCAGGTGTATTTATACTGCTGGTTCGGAAACGAGATGACGTTGAAGGTTGGCAACTATGTTTCTTTTCGTGTTATGTATCCCAACGAAAATATCGCAGCCATTTAATCGATTCCAAATTTTAAAGTACATTTCGATTTACGAGCGTGTAATATGCAAAATAAATAATGTTCGCAGAGCACCGAACTGGCGGACGCTATTTATGGAATGGACTGGACGATTCTCCCGACGGACGTGCAGAAGGATTTATTGATAATCATGATAAGATCGATGAAACCCGTTAAAATAACGTGCGCTCACATTCTCATATTATCCGTGGATTCTTTCGTCTCCGTTAGTAACAATACAATTTTTAATTTTAGATCTAGGAGTCTTGAATGCGAAGCATAATTTTTAACATTTATATGTTGCAGATTATTAAGATTTCGTATTCGACGTATAATCTATTAAAAACCACCGACGGTACATAAATAATGACTCCATGAATTATCAGTTTAATCTTACTATCATTCAACATTCCGCACATTTATATACTTACATGACTGAGCAATAAATCTTGCAATTAAATATAAAGAACGAATTAGTTATTTGCACTGCTACAATTAATACCGTTGAAAATAGGATCGCAACAAATCAATTGTTTATCGTTCGCTGACAAACGAATCTGAATATCGCTGGATCCAGTTAGCAGAGTCTCGTTCGAAGGTGAGAGAAATTTTCGAAGGAGGCACGAGCAGAAAATAAACGTTCAGGGCCCCACCCCCGTTAAAGTTTCCGTGGCGGTCCATTTTTGGGCTCCCCCACCTTCGTCTTCGTTTCGGATCACGCTGAAGAAGAAGAAGCTTTTCGTAACACCCTCGGACACTCGACTCGCTCGCGCCACTCTGCTCGCTCAAGTTAGGTAAGTGAATCAGCACCAAGTTCTACCAAAAAAACGTTCGCTTTTCTTCTATTCTGATGGCTGTTTCTGCTCTTTGAACGAGCGAATCGGTGTGAAACGACGCAACGCGAGTGTGAAAGGATGGTGTGGAACGAACGTGTGCGTTGGTTCTTTCGTGGAGGATTCTCGTGGACGTGGAAGCTCTGGCGTGTTGAACGTTCAGCGATGGAGAAAAAGCGTCCGAGAACGGAGATCGAATGGACAGAAGAGTGTTCGATTACCGAAAGCCGAGCTATCAGAAGACAATGCTTCAAAAACTAACAAGCTTCGAAAATTCTTGCCTTTGGAGACAGTGGACTAACTTAATAAGGGATCTTTCAGCTTTTAAACTTGTGCTTTGCCGATGCTTGTAAGTAGAATTAACCCTGCAACAGCTGACGCTAACAATAGTCAAAAATTTCGATCATCTATGAAATATCGTGGTCCACTTAGATGACAAAAATAAACCGGTTGCCATCATCGAATCGTTTCGTTTACGCGTGCTATTTTCAACCGCCGTTTCACGCGATTTCAACTACCTTTTCGATTAAATTGCAACTCGGGATATTTAGAACGATTAAAACTTTACCGAAGTAGCAAGCATGTAGCTGTAAAATTTTGCAGGAAGATCAACGATATCGGACCGGAATTTGCAACATATTCTAACCGCTGCCAATTAATAACAGCATTGCTAACGCTTCAGGAAATTGCTTTTGGGCTTAACGTAACGCAATGGCGTAAGTAGCAGTCGTTTCTGTGTTCAATACTAAAGCTTGAATATCCACAATCCCAGAAGTCAAAGAATTCTGTAACTGTTGAGGATCTGCTCTGATGTCATATTGGCACTCGTGGGTAACTAGATGCCAAAACGTTCCAGGTGCTATTTATAAGCTGAAAGAGGTCGAATGTGTTGCCATTCAAACGATCGATTTTATGAATAGAGATGTTACGCCTCTATAATCCTATATTGCAATCGTTAATCATTTGCGGGCCCTTAGAGAGGGATCAAAATTTATCACCTGACCTAACAATTTTGCTTTTATGAAACTTCGTTGTCAATATCTGAGAGATAGTAGAAAATCGATGGTGAAGAAAATTCATATGTTAACTACTACAGTAGAAATGGTCTTGGTATGCACAATTATTGGGAAATTTAAGAAGTTGACTAGAAAAAAATTGCTTCTTCCTATAATTAAAAAGTAGAGATTATCATTGACCATGGCAGTTAAAATTCTAAGACTACGCTTCTAATTTAAGTCCCCTATTTTTCCTTGAATTACTGTGATGCCACGTACTTCTTCCATTGCTGATTACCCTCGTTCAAATAATCCATCGAATAAAATTCCCCAAAAATGAACAAGCAACCTCCATAACAAAATAAATTAATTTGCAACCAGCCTTAAATTGAAAATTAAAATATCCTTTAATGTACTAAGATATCCTTATTAAATTATCCTTCATTGTAAAAATGAAAAAATATCGGAAGTCGCGATGAGATATTTGTCTTCAAGATTGTCATCGTCAAGATAAAGTATCTAATTTGTGAATTGATGAATCGAAGGGGTTAGAGCGTCCTAAGAATCACACGAATGTTAAGAAACGAGTAGAAGTTCGAATCGCGAGATCGCGAGGTGGCGGCCGATGATTTCGTAAATGCTATTAATACGCGGCAGTTAGATCGAATGTCGGTCGTCGGTGGCGGCCAAGTAAAGCCCGTTCTTCTGGGTTACGCTCGTGCTTTTCGGCCTCCACGCCTCAACATCGGCCACCGTCCTCTCTCTTCGTGTTTCCACGCATATTTATAGAGCCTGCCTATGGATGCTATTTCCGTAGACGCGACGATGCGCCTCTCTCTTCGTGTATCCGAAGCCGAACGATATCATCCGTTGGATTATGAGTCGCAGAACCCGCGGGGATTCGTGAAAATATGCAAGCTGCCCCTTTGCTTTATGTCCTCTATTTTCAGGGTTAGAACGATGACGAAGCGCGCTGAACGCTTACGTCTTTTTACGAACTTTAACCCCTTCGAACGACATCGACTGTTATGATCAGATTGTCAGACTCTTCTGTATCTTTTTTATTATTGCCAGTTAAATTAGATGTAGCAATGGAGGACTTTAAATTTTCTCTTCTGTTAATTATACAACTGGAATTAAAATTGTAAATGATGGTCTCACATCGATAAAATGAAGTAACATGTCATAAAGTTATGTGATGAAGAGTACATTCAGAAGAAATGAGGTAAATGTACGATGACGAGTAGAATTTTTTACTAATAGTCCATGCACTGTACCTGGCAACCTTGATAATCGAAAGCAATAAAAATATTGGTTCACCTGCCAACTTACCTGAACCACCCACCCGATTTTATGAAATAATATAACTTTGAACCCTACACACTACTTGCATGATACACAGCTTTTTAGATCATATGACAATTTCCATAAACACAAAAGAAACATGGTCTTATAATAAACCTTGTCATTTAACCAAAGAAACCCCATGCAACGTTCGACAGATTGAATAAAATGAAACCGGACAATTTCAGCGAACTTGATAGTTTCTCGAAGGAAGCCGGCAAAAGAAAAAGCTCGCCACCATGGACGCGATCAAGAAGAAGATGCAAGCGATGAAGCTTGAGAAGGACAATGCCATGGACAAGGCCGATGCCTGTGAAGGACAGGCAAAGGAGGCGAATATGCGCGCGGATAAGGTCCTTGAGGAAGTTAGCGAATTACAGAAGAAGCTGACTCAGGTGGAAGGAGATCTTGAAGCCAACAAACAAGCTTTGGAACAGGCTAACAAGGACCTTGAGGAGAAGGAGAAGGCTCTGACCAACGTGAGTGCGTCAGACTTATTAATTACCCGATTCGGTAATTCGCCGATTTCCAAATCCACCGATTACCAAATTCCCCGATTACTAAATTGCCCGATTTCCAAATCCACCGATTTCCGAATTCCCCGATTCCCGAATCCACCGATTTCCAAATTCCCCGATTCCCAAATCCACCGATTCCCAAATCCACCGATTTCCAAATCCACCGATTCCCAAATCCACCGATTTCCAAATTCCCCGATTCCCAAATTCACCGATTCCCAAATTCACCGATTCCCAAATCCACCGATTTCCAAATTCCTCGATTTCCAAATCCCCCGATTCCCAAATCCACCGATTTCCAAATTCCTCGATTCCCAAATTCCCCGATTCCCGAATCCCCCAATTTCCAAATCCACCGATTTCCAAATTCCCCGATTCCCAAATTCCCCGATTCCCAAATTCCCCGATTCCCAAATCCCCCGATTCCCAAATTCCCCGATTCCCAAATCCCCCGATTCCCAAATCCCCCAATTTCCAAATCCCCCGATTCCCAAATCCCCCGACTCCCAAATTCCCAAATTCCCTAATTTCCAAATTTCCCAATTATGAAACCCCCGAAACCCCAAATATCCAAAGTCCCCATATCCATTATCACCGACACAATTACTAAGACTAGAAAACTTGATCCACTTGGAGCAAAAATCCCAGTTACCCTAATGAACGCCGAACACCGTTGACCCCCATGACTGTTGACGTGTAAAGATACGTGCTACTCCAGCTGTCTGCGTTCCAGTTTATTTTGGATCGGATCCAACGCAGTTTTTCCCGGAGAAGTTTTATTTATATTTGTAGTCTCTTTTTGGGAGATCGATGACTCAGAGTGACGCAGTTTTACGTCTTCTCGTAACCACAAAATCATCTGTTCCCTGTTTCACGGATTTTAAAGGGATCCTTCGTTGCAGGCTGAATCCGAGGTCGCCGCTTTGAACCGAAAAGTACAGCTGATCGAAGAGGATTTGGAAAGATCTGAGGAACGATTGAACACCGCCACTGCTAAGTTGGCTGAAGCTTCTCAAGCTGCTGATGAATCCAGCCGGTAAATTTGTCAAGTTTCTTAACAATATTTCTAGTGTTGTTAATATTGAGAACTCTCAAACGTTGATAATATATTTTCATCCCATAATAATACCGTTATATTTAACACTGATCACAAAGTATTTATAACAAAGGTTAATACCTTTGGTTTCAACTGTGTTTTAAAACGCACCAAATCCAACAATGTATCAAATGTGTCAAATCAATTAGTGAAAGTCTGAGAAGTCAAATTTTGCTCAACATTATTTCAGTATGTGCAAAGTATTGGAAAACCGAGCACAGCAGGATGAGGAAAGGATGGATCAGCTGACGAACCAGCTGAAGGAGGCGCGTCTCCTCGCTGAGGACGCCGACGGAAAATCCGACGAAGTATCACGGAAGCTGGCCTTCGTTGAAGACGAGTTGGAAGTGGCTGAGGATCGAGTCAAATCCGGTGAAGCGTAAGCTTCTTCTTCTTCTTCTGTTCGAAAAATTGGTTATACGCGTTATCATCTTTTCTCCAACTTTGCAGCAAGATCATGGAGTTGGAAGAGGAATTGAAGGTCGTCGGTAACAGTTTGAAATCGCTGGAAGTTTCCGAAGAAAAAGTGAGTCATTTGTTGCTCTTCGGTGAGGTTAGGTTAGATCCACCTTCGATGGATTCGTTATATTAATTGAATTCGTGCAGGCTAATCAACGAGTGGAAGAATTCAAGCGTCAGCTCAAAACCCTGACGGTGAAACTAAAGGAGGCCGAAGCCCGAGCTGAGTTCGCTGAGAAAACTGTCAAGAAATTGCAGAAGGAGGTCGACAGGCTCGAAGGTGGGTTTCGTGACGATATAATTAATCAAAATATTGTTAAAATTTGTATAGCATCGTTCGAACAGGAGTCCAATCGTAACCATTACGTTGTGATCGCTGCAGAATATTCTACAGCTTCAGCATTCAGATAATTTTGAATTCAAGCAAAATGCTGATGTAATCTGGCAAAATGACAACGACGCTTTCGTTACCCGCTTACACTGGAATGGAACCAAAGATTCGTGGTCAATTTGCCAATCGCGAGCAATGTCAGCAACGTTTTATCAAACTAGTTTATAGAACGGTCATTCAATGAATATTTTATCTCAATCGATTTCCTAAACTTTTATGGCTTGACCTTTGCAAACCAAGTTTGAAAGCCCTTAAAGTTTCAAAATTGCAAATTTCAAAATTCCAAGATCCTAGATCAATTTCTGATTTATAGAAATGTTAAGGAAAGTATCAACTGTCGTTCCCAGTAATCAATCAGTTTAATGAGTTCCTAGTTACAGAGTTAAGGAAGGTAGTGTATTAGAAATGTTCGCGACAATGAACACCTCATCGTGCAACCCGAATTGATTTTCTTTGCAGACGTACTGCACCAGCAGAAGGAGAAACGCAAAACGATTTGCGAAGAATTGGACAAGACATTCTCTGAGCTTTCTGGCTACTAAAATCAAAAAAAGAAACGAAACCGAGAATATCACTCATACTCGTTCCAAACAGCACTCGTTTATTCCCTCACACGAAACATTTCTGTCTGGTTAAAGATCCGCTTCAGCTACGTTTTGTCCGCTGCTTTCGAAATTTTGTGTTTTCAACTTTTTACTCTTAACAAAAGTCTTATGTTCGTTGAAGCGATTTGTTCTTTCGCTTTTTTCTCGCGATCTCGTGATCAATCATCTTTACAATTATCCAACAGTTCGTATTTTTATTTTTCCCTGTTCGCTGCTGGAGTATCGTCGCTGATATTCGAACTTCGGTTGCGCTTCGCTTAGTTTTGCGAGAACAGATTAATGTTCGTTCGCGTTAGGCATTGTTTATTAATATTCGCGTACAGAAACACGCGTATCATACACGAGCACACAAGGCGCTTAACAGAATGAAAGAAACGATAAAAACCGATCGAATAAAATAAAAAGCTTCGCACGTTTATGTGGGCCGTCGTACGTCAGGTACATTTGCCAACCCCTCGCAAAAACTGTTTGCCTTACACTTGTGCAAAGGTATACCACACCTCACGATTCTTGCATGAGCAATGTGATTAACCTACGAAGAAAATTACATCTAATTTCCACAGACAGAATTAACGAGCGTGTAATTTTCTTCGCGAGACAATGTGTTAACGACTCACGTTTGCTTTCACACCACGCTCTTCGTGGACAATTTTGCATCGTACCAACACACTGACATACACCACGTTGTACGACAGTTTCCTTAGATTTTCACGAGGCAAGTGTGCTTTTTTTAGGACGAATGCTGTTGCACCAGTACCGATCACTTTCACGTGAATCTCACGTTTTTTTACGTAGGGTTAACATCCCTTCCAGTAGCCGTCGATCAATTCTACATTCTTATTAATTCTAAACCTGACTTAGGTTCATTAAAATAAGTAGTGTATCCGTATGCTTCACCGATAAACCTTATACGCATTTAGTTCAAGGTTTTGTAACTTAAATCGAATTTAAGTAACACTGAAGATATAAGAATTTTGAGCTCAAGAGATTCTTGATACTTGAAGTAGCTACTTGAACTCACCTAAATCGTTTATCGGTGAAGTACACGCAAACGAAGTAGAAAATACGTAGGATACAGATTAGATAAAAGCGACGAAACGAGAAAGGAAAACTAAATGTGTTGCAAACTTTTCCAGACGAGTTGGGCATCAACAAGGACAGATACAAGTCTCTCGCCGACGAGATGGACTCCACGTTCGCCGAATTGGCGGGATACTAAGTCATTTTCTTCTTCTACGCTTCGTATATTAATTACAACGCCGTGCGTGGGGATTGAGCTACGATGTATTGCATGAAGGACTCTCATAGAACCTGTCGTTGCGAGATCGGCGAAGCATGGCCAAAATGGACACCGCGGGGATCGGAAATTATTTATCGAAATTGCACAAATGTTACTGCGATGATGGTCAATTGTACAGAGATTCGTGAGGAATTTAACTCTGTTACTCCGTTGTACGATATATTACACAAGACCCAATAAACTGCTGTAATATGGTATGCGTTATTATACAGGCTTTTGGTAGAATTTGGAAAGCTTTCACCTTCAACGATATTTTTCATTTTTCTGGAAAAGGTGAGTATCGAATTAAGTGCTGAATTGATAAATTATAAATTAAAGTGGCCCTGTGTTTCACAATTTCTGAGCATCGATAGTTGAAGGTTAAAGAAAAGTCTTCTTTTTGTTGTAACAAATTTTAAATTTATAATATATTTTAACGTTAAATATTTGAATCTAACACTGTTTGGCGATAATTGGCAAGATTCTTTGATGTGGATAAATCGAATTTTACGCTAATAAAATGTTGCAATGAAATGTTAATGTTGTTTCAATTCACGGTAATTTTAATGTTGAATCAACTAATATAGAGAAATAAAATACACAACTCACCAGTCGTGGAGTACCAGCAGCGACTCGATTCCTGTTCTCAAAAGAAATTAACAATATTTTCAATGTATTCAGCATCGAAATTTTTAATAGAAATTGCAAGTAAAAAAGGACAAAGGTAAGGTGCAGATACAAATATGAAGCTTTTGACCAGATGTTTTTAAAATTGGCACACTATGTGGTAACATTTTTCTAAAGAAGTCTGAATTTTTAAACGCGTCAGATCTCAGATAGAGCAACAACAGAGAGCGTTTTGAAAAAAGTAAAATTTTTGCAATTCGGATAGTAATTTTTAGCTTGATAAAGTTCGTAGAATATCGTAATGCATGTTTGATAGAGGCACAGTTATATGAGATGTTTATTAATCACCAAAGGTACTCATTAAATGTACACTGAACGTATAAATGTACACCGAATGGCATATCAATTCAGGAGTACTGTCTTGTACTATATTCTCGTAGGTCATGATTAATTATACGCAGTTATTCGTTATCTACTATGTACATATCAGTGACAATCCTCGGTTAATCTCCCGGTTCGCGCAATTGTGCACATTCTTTATACAATTAGTCTATCAAACGCTCGGTAATCGTGTATGACTTCGATACGAGCCAATCCGGACACGTATACGACACTCCACAAGAAAGTTAACGCCTAATCGAAACTCGAGCATGCAACAAACAAACAGATAAACAAACAAATATACAATATCTCGTCTGTAAAACATGTAGTGTCTAGGAAACAAAAATAAAAGTGAAAATTATAGCTCACGCACACACATTCAAAAAAGTACGAAGACGTATCCGCGTACGTGTATCAAAAAAATTTCTAACGATAAAAAACAACGGACATGATAATGCAATAACATTCTACTAGAAAATCTCTCGTTAACGTTCTCGTTGCTAAAACTGCACCACGTCGCGTAATACGCTATCACGCTAGTGATAAAATTGCAAATGTATCTCTTGACGCGAAAGGTCAAATGTAGTCTACGAAACGGAGTATCTAAAACTTTCTATTGTTAAAAGAAAATAATGCAAAAGAAGCTTCGCTTCTCTTCGAAAAATCTGTTGTTAATTGACGTAACAATGCTGAATTATCCAATGGTTCCGATAAAGTATAATAATGCAACTGTCCTGCAGTTTCCAGTAATGCCCTTGCTCTCCAAAAGACTCTCTTTGATTTATAGCATAATGGTGTCGCGATTTCAAGGAAATCAATAGAAACGGTACAGACTTCGTGGAATTGGATATTTTTGCTTCGCAAACGAATAAAACGTTTCAACGATCGATCTCGAATTTCTAATCACAATCTCCTGCCCGTAACATTGAAAAATTAATGTTACTACAGTTTTGGCAAAGCGTCGTTCGAATGTCGTAGGAAACGATCGGCGAGACGAGCAATGCAAAGAAAATATTGCATTTCGAGTATACAGTAGACTCTTGTTATACTGCAATTTTTGTATTGACTTTCACGCAATTGGGTGCTTCCTCACCCACCGTAGGACACGAGCATTCACGGAAACTGCCGAACACAGAAGGTCAAATCGCGTTATACGTTGTCGCGTTATACAGCCGAAAGTTTCGATATATTGCCAACTTCCGTATTGTCCGCTCGTCTCGTGGCAATATAACCGGGAGTCTACTGCATTAATTAGCGTCTCCTTGACGATCTTCGAGTTCCTTTGATCGACATTCAAAGTATTGTTTCTCTCGAGTATAATAAATAACTTTCTGCAAAAACTATACAAACTACCACAGTACTTATCTAATGTACAATTTTCATTATTTATAAGATAACGTTATCAAAAAACATTAGACTATTTGGTGTATCAATTGCACGCAACATCGTGATCGTTCTATGATGTATTTTACACGACAGCAAAGAATAAAATATGGTTTATCTTCCTCCGTACATTTAAAGGGTGCGAACCGAATATCTAATTTGCGCGGTACATGATTCTTTTTCAGCGATATGGAACATTCATCCTTTCGTTTTAAACGAACACAACCCGAATGCATCACATTAAGAGAAACACATCGACACGTGTTTAAATGAAAAGTAATGAACAATGACTCGAAAATAAGTATAAAAGCATCCCTTATTCTGTTTCCCGTAACGTGTCAATGTTGCTTACCCTTTTTTAACTATTCTATTCAATTTAATACCAGCGACCACAAAGTCGCTGTTAATACTTATGGATTATTCTGTACAAGTAAATAAAAACGTTGCATAGTATATACGATCGTCGCGTGTGAAATATGTGTTGCTTTTTTTCAGTTTTTGCATTTTACTAGACCACAAACGGTGATCTACTTCGTTATACAAGTGTTACGTGTACAATACAAAAAGTACGTCGACGTTTACCAACAGATATAAATTATCAAATGATCGATTTGCTCGCTCTTATATTAATCACGACGCGTATGAAAATATCAATAAATATAATAGGTGTTTTCGTATTTTTTTTTTCTTTTTTTTTTTCTTTTCTATGGTTCAGATAGCCGAACCCACGTTAAATCCTCCACGAGATATCAAGAATATATCTATGTTACAAGGCAATGTGATGCACAAAATTCTCAAACGACCCCGATTACCGTAGAAATCAACGTAACTTTTTTAATATTTATAATACAAGAAATCAAATACATGTATATACGTATATATATACATATACATATACTGTGTCCACATAACACGAATAAATGCACTGTAGACCATGTTCCGATGTTCCTCAGAGAAACTGGTAAAAAATTCTCTATGTTACAGGATTAAAATGTACAATTCCAAATCTGTGCTTTATACAGATTATATGTATATTATCTATGTACAAAATAACAAAAATAACGTACGCTGCAAACCTGTAAGAATGTCAGAAAATAAACTAATCTCGAAACGTCGAAGAATCCTGACTTACAAAAAAAAAACAATGCCGCGTGTCTCACGATTCGTACAAAGAATTCTTGTTTTCTATACAAAATCGTCTGCGTACCGCTGTAACGCAACCAAAAGTGACTGGTCGACGAATGAAACGAAAAATACACGACAGATCGAACAATATGCCCAGACGAAAGCCAACTCCTATTCTCTTTTCGTTAAGGAGGTGTAGCCATTGGCGTAACTAGATAGGAACCAGGATGAGTCTCCCCACCTAAACTATAGTACGGATGTACTTTATTTAGAAATTAGGATATCTTCAGACTTTTAACTTCCAATTAACAGATTCCAAAATCGTCCAATTTCTAGATCCCCCAGTTTCCAAAGGATGAAATTTAAAAATCCCCACTAAGCCACTTGGTCATACCTGATGTGGAACTTTAAAACTATAAATAAAACTAAAGAGCCACCCCAGATGAAGGTGCTAGTTACGGCAATGGATATATCTGCGAATCTTTCTGGGGTCCTATGTATACATACATATATATATATATATGACTCATATTAATATTGAAAGTATCCGTTGTAAGCTCAAATAACTTAGTGACTTAATACATAGATTAATAATATGTAATAACGATGGATGTGTCATGATTTAGGCTACAGACGGTCACGACGCGAAGAACTGTTGCAGGCGCTGCACCGTTCTACGATCCAGGGCGCACAGGTCAAAGTCAAACGTCTTCTTCGTGATCTCGTACTGACCCGTCTCCGCGATTACCTGAACAACTCGCTGTAACTCTTGGTTATCCTGCAACGTCATAATCTTCTGTTGCAAGTCCTTCAATTGAGACACGTAGTCCTCCGAGAACACCGGTGGTTCTCCCAGATCCGAGTCTACCAGGGTGCTGTTCGTCGAATCAGGAGCCACTTGTTCCGCCTCCATCTCCGCACTTTTCTCTACAATCTGTTCAGTCGCATTACGATCCTCTTTATCTTTCGCCGGGTGGACCGTTTCCTGATCCACCACGACCGGTGATTGACTCGAAGAGACTGGTTCCAAAGGAGGAGACGTAGAATGACCTCTGTCCTTCTCTCTTTTAACCACGTGCTCCTCGTCGCCTTTGCTTTCGCTCCTCCGTTTCCTCTTTCGAGTTTCCTTCTCTTCGCCTTTGCTTCCCTTCGGTTTCTCCTTCTTGTTTCGATCTACCTTCTCCTTTTTGATATCCGGTGGCATCGCGGGTGACAGCGGTTTCGCCATTTCCGTGGGAGGAGTGGATACCGTCTGATTCTCCACCTCCTTTTTAACGTTAGGCGCTAACTTCGATTCCGTGAAGGAATCGTCGTCCACGGATGGTGCCGAGTCGCTGCTATCCCTTTCCGGCATCTCTACCAATAAGTTAGGCACGTTATTTTGTTTCTCGGACGACGACTTTATTCTCTCGCGTTTCTCCTTCTTCTCCCTGTCTTTACTGCTGTCCCGTTTATCCTTCTTATCCCTCTTCTTGTGTTTATGTTTCTGTCTGTCCTTCTCGCTTTTGCCATCTTTCGTTTTGTCGGATTTCTCAGGCTTCTCCGACTTCTCAGTCTTCAACAATTTCTCTTCCTTTGGTTTCTCGTTCTCCTTGGGAGGTTTCGGCGACTTTCTACCCTCTTTCGCCGATTTGTACTCTTGGCTCTTCTCCTTCTCGGGTTTCTCCGATTTCTCCGGTTTATCGCTCTTCTTCTCGCTTATCTTTACGGACTCCTTCGAGGCGGATCGTTCGCCTTCTTTGTACTTATCCTTCCGTTCCTTGTCGCGATCTTCCTTGTGCTTTTTCTTGTCCTTTTTCTTTTCGCTTTTCGAGGAATCCGCGACGTTCTTCGAGCTGTCCTTCGACTTATCTTTTTCCTTGGTTTTGTCCTTCTCTTTCTCCACGATTAGCTTCTTCAACTCCTTCTCCTTGGCCTTTGGAGAAGCTGGCCTCTTCGCTGGAGGAAGAGAAGGACTCGGTGGTCTCTTCAACGGAGCTGGGGGAGGCGATGGGGGTCTTTTATTCGAAGGACTCGAATGACTTTTATTTGTCGGACTAGCAGGCCTTTTTGATTTCTCTTTGCTACGACTTTTCTCTTTCGATTGATCTCGGGTCTTCTTATCCTTTTTGTCATCCACTTTGTCTTTCTTACTATCTTTATGAGGACTATCCTTAAGCTTAGATTTATCCACCTTATCGGACTTCTCGGGTGCAACTAACGGTTTGGAAGCCGATGATTTCTCCGGCTGTGCAGGCTTCTTGACATCCTGGGAAACTTTCGTGGGTTTCAAGGGAGTTCCAAACAGTTCAGCAAACGAATTTGACATTTTTGACTCCACATTTTTGTGCTTTTTCGAGTCGCTTCCGCTCAATTTTGGTTTACCAAGCATTGCTGGAGTTTTGGTTTCATTCTTTTCGATCGAATTTTCGGAACCCGTCACGACAACCTGTTTATACAATGTCTTTTATAAACTATCCAAAATGATATACCTATATGAATTAAAATAAAATATACTTACACCACCACCCTTTAATAGTTTCCGTCTAAATTCATCCGAAGGATTATTAATTATTTCTGTATGCCTTGTGACATTTGTGATAGCAGGACCACTTGGTTGCAAATCAAGGTCGTATAAAATTTCTATCTTTTTGGTACCTTCCTCCTTGTTCTTTAAATAAATATGAATGGGGATCTCAAAACCAGCATACCCAGATTCTTTTATCACAAATGGTGGTTCTTTCAGGACCCTCTTTGGTTTTGAGAATGTTTCGTGTAATTGAAAAACCACTAAAATTTGAAGCACAAAATGGTGAAACACGATTTACTTCATACCCACGAGTAAACAGTATTCACCCAAAGGTATATTTACCTTTTTCCACATAGTGATGTATTTCAGCATTATCGATACCCCTCACAAACACTTCCCAGTCGTGAGTATAACCCTGAGGAGTGGTACGCATACGTAACATGGATGCGTGACCACATTCTAATGTAATGCGAATTGCCATTCTCTCATATGAAATTTTTGAAGCACTCTTTTCCAAAGAAAAACAGAGAGAGTTAATTACTTGGGTATGCGAAGCAATTACTTTACATTTTTAATTATCTCGTTGCACGTGAATGAAAACTTTGACAAAACATTAATTATCAGATTCTTCACAGTGCATTTGCTACCATTATCCAGCAACTTATGCTAGATGTATAAATAATGGCAACACGTCTTTTCTAATTTTCGAACTCTTGAGATTCTGGTACATCGTTTGGTTACACTTGTTTTGTATGAAAATGTTGACCACCTCATTAGAGCAGAATGTTGTACTCGACAAGTTGTTTGCAGAAGGCAATTCGGCCCGTTGCAATTGGAATAATTTTCGACGTTCCTTTCAGTCAAATTCGATTCGATTATCAACAGGTAAACTTCACACTAACCAGAATTAGTCGCCATACTCGTTACTCCGTATACTAGAAATTAAAAAATTCGTGTACACCGCCATCTACTGGCGAACACTAATCTTTTGACGAAGAACTTTTTATCCAAATGTTTGTTTTTGTATTTACTGTTCTGTCCAATCATTGATTGGCAAAATGATACATCATTTATCAGAACATACTATGTAACCGATATGTAACCCATTGTTTATTGGTCGATATTTTAACTATTAGCCTAACTCATAAGATGATACGGTTACAATGCTTATCCTCACTGTGATATATTAAGGCAAGTTCACAAGAAACTTTGACACTAAAAATGTCACATTACCAGATAAACTTCCCTTGATCAATAAGCAAAACAAAGCATCCAATTGTGAGTAAATTGCTGTAAACAATACGCTTACTTCAATAGCATACCCTAAGTGAAAACATGATATTCCTTCTAGATTTTTAAAGAGGAATAAGTCTAGTACTTTTGTACATATAACCTGTAAAAGTCAGTGCTTTACAAATTATTGTATTTATTTATTGGCAAAAATGTTGTCTACAATTGTAAAGGAGCATCAAAGTAAACAAGCAGCAAGGAAGGAGAGACAAGGTATGATTAGACAGTTTTGTTTGTCTGCAAATGTATTATGGGCATAAATTGTTGTTGAATGTAATGTTGTTTTGACAGAACAAAAAAGGAAAGAAGCTGTACAAGCTGCAAGTAATTTAACACAGGCTTTAGTTGACCACCTAAATGTAGGGTAAGTAATGAATGATAAAAAAATTCAATGGTACAAGCATTGTCAAATAAATATTTTATAATACAGGGTAGCCCAAGCATATTTGAATCAAAAGAAATTGGACGCAGAAGCAAAACAGTTACAGCATAGTGCAACAAATTTTGCAAAACAGACACAATCCTGGTTAAATTTGGTGGAAGCCTTTTCAAGCGCATTGAAAGAAATTGGTGATGCTGAAAACTGGGCACGTAGTATAGAAGGTGATATGAGAACTATAGCAACTGCTTTGGAGTACTCTTATAAAGGTAAGTTGTTTTTATGAATCATAATATATAAGCAAAATGATTCATCAAAATATTTATTTTAGCAACTCAAGAAGCTCCAGGACCCAGTGCTACTTGAACAACCAATATTTCAAGGGTATTTCATTGTATATTTGTTTACAGAATTGTACAATAATTTGTTGTTGTTTATGTTAATATGAGTATGTTCAAATAAATTGAAATATGTTGCTTTTGCACGGACGTGTTCATTTATTACATTTCACAATTATTGAAGTTTGAATATCTTGGGCAATAGAATGGTTTACATATGGTATAGTGACTTTTAGATATCAGGTTTACCATACCACATAAACATGTTGGAACTCTCAAACTAGTAATAAGCATGGCGGCCGGTCCTATAGCCGAACGTAATCAAGGTAAATTTACGCTCAAAATATCTATTATAACATTTTAGCATCTTTTTCTTTAATTGTAATACATGTATAATTATTGTTATTGCAGTAAATTTATTTTTATGAAACAATATAATTGAAAGTATTGTGATGTGTTAGGTTATGTGGACATAAACACTGTATGCACTTCAACAACTAACAATAAGAAATTTCTACCCAGTATCTATTAGTTATTAAGGTTTTAAATAAAATCTTTATATTTTCAGATGCTACAATATACGTTGGTGGTTTGGATGACAAAGTTACAGAGTCCCTTATGTGGGAACTGTTTGTCCAATCAGGACCAGTGGGTAAGCGATTAACACAGTCTAAAAACTAATATCTATTGCTTTTAGATTTTCTATTAAAATCTATTTCACGTATTTTCAGTCAATGTCCACATGCCTAAAGACAGGGTGACTCAGATGCATCAAGGTTATGGATTTGTAGAGTTTATGGGAGAAGAGGATGCAGACTATGCGATCAAGATAATGAATATGATCAAATTATATGGGAAACCTATAAGAGTAAACAAAGCAAGTGCTCATCAGAAGAACCTAGATGTTGGAGCTAATATTTTTATTGGAAATCTTGATCCTGAAGTTGATGAGAAGCTACTGTATGATACCTTCAGTGCATTTGGAGTTATACTACAGACACCAAAGGTAAAGTTTGCAGGAGACATCATAAATATATAAAAATCTACAATGCACTAATTAACTATAGACATTTTGTGAACATATACTAATCTACCATGTTCAAATTTTCGTTACAGATAATGAGAGATCCAGAAACAGGAAATTCAAAAGGATTTGCGTTCATAAACTTCGCCTCGTTCGACGCATCCGATGCCAGTATAGAAGCCATGAATGGCCAATACTTGTGTAACAGACCGATTTCCGTATCCTATGCCTTCAAACGCGACGCCAAAGGAGAAAGACACGGCAGTGCAGCAGAACGATTATTAGCTGCTCAGAATCCGCTAAGTCAAGCGGACAGACCTCATCAACTGTTCGCAGACGCTCCTCCATTAGCGCCACCACCTATTCCTAATTCGAGTGCAGCGACTCATCAAACAACTCATCATCCTCAGCATCATGTGATGCATCACGGTATGGTGGTACCACCTCCGCCACCCCCGTCAACCCCAGGACCACCGATGGGTCACCCACCACCACCTCCCGTCCCACCTCCGCCATCCAGTGGTTTTCCTCCGGCAAGTATCCCTCCGCCTCCGTTGCCTCCAATGTCAATGGCAACGCATCCTCCTTTACCACCTGGTATGCCACCTCCGTTACCACCGATGCCTGTCCCTACGTCACAAGCACAACAAACGACGCCAAGAATGATGGCGCCACCACCACCTCATTGGGGCGTCAGCGGACCACCTCAAGGACAGTTCCCTCCACCTCCGCCTCCTTCTTCTACCGGAGCACCTCCGCCCCCGCAATTTGGGCAATTTCAACCTCCACCACCGAGACCACCACCTACTTGGAGGCATCCACCACCTCCTCC